CCTCATTCATGCTAGGTAAGTGCTCTACCACTGAGTTACATCCCAGACCTTTATATTTTACTTCAGGGAAGGGTCTCACTAAGTTGCTGAGGTTGACTTAGCCTCCTGAGTAGTTGGAATTACAGGCCTGCACCACTATGCCAGGCCAACTTGCACTTTTATAAGACCCACTGGGCTGAGTTAGAAATGTCAAGAAAAGAACAGGCAAGGTGCTGCACACCTGTAATTCCAGTGACTCAGAAGGCTGAGGCAGGAAGATCATAAGTTCAAAGCCAGCCTCAGCAGTTTAGCAAGATCCTAAGCAACTTAGTTGAGACCCTGTTTCAAAAAAGGCTGAGGGGGGATGGTTTTGTAGCTCAGTGGTTAAGCATCCATGGGTTGAATCCCTTATACCTCCCCCAAAAAAATCCCCTGGGCGCAGGTTGGTAAAAGGTTTTCAGCCCAAACTGATGAGCCATATCCAACATTGCTCCCTGTCCATGTTACTCCTTGGCCACCATAAAAGGTAGAAGATGCAGGATGCCATCTGCCCTCTCTCCTCCCTGCATCCCTACCCTGACCCAGCCTCCTACCACTGTCCTTGATTTCCACTGCCCCAGGATTAACAGTCCCCTATATGTATCATACTTCTCTATCATCTTGCCTTACAAGACACTCCCTGACATCTGTTTGTTCCCCCTTCTGCTTTTCCCACCTCACTCTCATTAGTTTGACAGATCCAGCCCCTGCTCTTGCTGTCCTCCATTGAGGGTGCTGCCAACCTCATTAACAACACTCCCCTCCATCCATTGCCTTCCTCATCTTTGAAGATTACAGGAGAGTTCCTGATCATACCCAGAACTCCCCTTGAAAGCTAGACTGCTGCTGCCTTCCTTTCATCTCAGGATGGACATAGGATGACCACACTGCTTTAGAGAACAATTCCTTTTCCTTGCTCACTCTGTAGTTCAAATGGCAGATCCTCCTGCCTGACTCCAAAACTAGGCCCAGTGCCCAAACATATTAAGAGTAATTCACCAGGGGCTGGAGTTGTACTTCACCTCGTTGGTAGAATCCTTGCATAGCACCTGTGGTTTTGATCCTCAGCACTATGTAAAAATATTGTGTCCATCTGCAACTAAAAATATATTAAAAAGAGAGTAATTCACCAAAATTAGGGTCCATGGAGCATGAAGCCTGATCTTGAAGCCACAAGGTGTGGTTGAGGACAGAGATTAATATCCTGTTGAAAAAACTTGATAGAGAAAAAGACACCAACCCAGAAATAAGCTGAATCATGTCCGTAATTGCAGCAACTTGGGAGGCTGAGGCTGGAGGATTGCCAGTTCAAGGCCAGCCTCAGCCACTTAGCAACACCCTCAGCAATTTAGTGAAACCCTGCCTCAAAATCAAACATAGAAGGGGATGGGGATGTGGCTCAGTGGTTAAGTGCCCTATGTGTTCAATCCTCGATACAGAAAATAAATAAATAAAAACATGGATCTGGAGATGTAACTCGGTGATAAAGTGTCCCTGAGTTCAATTCCCAATAACATATAGATAGAACCAGGTGCAGTGGCACATGCCTCTAATCTTAGCTTCTCTTGCTGTTCAGACAGGGACAAGTTTGAGCACAGCCTGGGCAACTTAACAAGAGAGTTTCAAAAACTGAAAAGAGCCCGCGATGTGGCTCAATGGTAAAACTCCCCCTGGGTTCAATCTCCGTACCAAAAAAAAAATCATTTGCATACTTCCAGCTTGAAATTATCAGGAGTTCAGATACACACATCGACCATCTGTTTGACAGGTCTGTTTTTTTTTTTTTTTTTTTTTTTGGGGGGGGGGGGGACCTGGGATTGAACTCAGGAGCACTGGACCACTGAGTCACATCCCCAGCCCTATTTTGTATTTTATTTAAAGACAGGGTCTCACTGAGTTTCTTAGCGCCTCGCTTTTGCTAACGCTGGCTTGGAACTCTTGATCCCCCTCTCTCCTGTCTTACAGGTGTGCACCACAGCACCTGACAACAGATCTGTTTTATTAGGGTGTTTTTACACCCTTGTCTGAGCATTGTGAAATGTTATTGCCCATACCCCACACCTGCAGCTCTTCCTCAGCAGCTATCCTTAGGCTCAGGGCACGGTGCCAGTGCCATTCTGACTGCACAGAGAATCAGAAGTCTCAGAATTCATGCTCCCCCATGGTAGCCTCTTATTGACTTTTCAGTGCAAGAATACACAAAGAATGCAATCCACATGCCAAGCTCACATCAGAATCAAGCAGTGGGCGCCTCTAAAGGAAAGTTTGTGACATTGCACCCTTGCCTTGTTGGTTTTCTTTTCTTTTTTTTTTTTTTTCCCTTCCCTCTTCCCACCCTCCCTTACCCCTCCTCTTTGACTCCTTGCTTTCTTTCACATTCCACGTGTGACCACCTGAGTGCAGTCCACCACAATGTTTGGACCATTGTAGTAGTATCCTGTTAGTTACCTTGGCTTTTGTTTATGGTTTTTTGGTCCTGGGGATTAAACCCAGGAGCACTTTACCACTGAGCTACATCCCCAGTGCTTTTTATTTTTTGAGACACAGTCTTGCTATGTTGCCCAGGCTGGCCTTGATCTTACGAAGGAGAATTCTTGAAGAGGGGGCATGATAAGAAGGTTCACAAGAGCCTTCTGTCCCCTGTAGGGGGAAACAATGTGTCTAGGAAGAGGGACCGGAACTGGGGAGCTGCTTGGCTGGACTACTGTGACCCAGATGATTGCTGATGGGAATTGAAAGCTGGGCAGGTGGAAAAAAGTGGGTGGGGTGAGGAGCTATGTTGGAGGCAGGTATGAGCTGGAGGTGAGGAAAAACCAGATTCAAATCATCCAGGCAAAAGTCAGCATATAACTAATTAGAACAAATTTAAAAAATTAAAACAAACAAACAAAAAGGACAGCATCCAGAGAGGTCAGTATCAGTACAGCGCAGAGACTGAGGACTTTGGAGTCAAGGAGGCTTGCATTGAAATGCCTTCTTGGGCCTACAGCCATACCACCCTGAAAGTACCTGATCTCATCTGAAATGCCTTCTTGGCCCCTTTCCAACTGGGCATCCTTTAGCCATGTCACCAAACCTTTCTGCTTTCACTTTCATCCTTGGAAAATATAGAGTAATAGAAGTGGGGTGCTATGCACAACAGAAGAAGGATAGTTGGCCCTGTTTTTTTTTTTTTTTTTGCAAGTTCTGCATCTGCAGATTCAACCAACAGCATATGAAAAAAAATTTTTTAAGATGTTTTTAGGGGCTCGGGATGTGGCTCAAGCGCTCACCTGGCATGCGTGAGGCATTGGGTTGGATCCTTAGCACCACATTAAAAAATAAATAAATAAAGATATTGTATCCACCTAAAACTAAGAATTAAATATTTTAAAAAAAAGGTGTTTTGGGGTTTGTAGGTCAGTGGTAGAACTTTTTTCTTTTTGCCTATCCTGCACATGGTCCTGTGTAATGCATCTATAATGAATAAGTACAGAGTTTTTTTCCTTGTCATTATTCCCTAAACAACAGCGTAACAACTATTTCCATACCATTTACATTGCATCAGGTATTACAAGTTGCCTAGAGATGACTGAGTCTACGGGAAGCTGTTCACATATTACATCATTATGTATAAGGGATTTGATAATCTGCAAATTTCAGTAGCCTAGTAAGCTGTAATAAATTCTCCATGGATACTGAGGGATGACTATACTCAAAATATGGTAAATGGGGTTGAAGATGTAGCTCAAGGTTATAATATATGCTTGCATAAACAAAAGGTTGTAAGGGCTGGGGTTGTAGATTAGTGGCAGAGCCCTTGCCTAGCACGTGTGAGGCACTGGGTTCAATCCTCAGCACAACATAAAAATAAACAGACAAAACAAACAAAAGTTGTAGATTACATACCCATCAGAGTTACACAAAAGTGGTTACTTAAGAATCGTCCATTGTTGGGCTTGGTGGTGCCTGCCTGCAATCCCAGTGGCTTGGAAGGCTGAGACAGAATTGCAAGTTCAAAGCCAGCCTCAGCAGCTGGGAGGTGCTAAGACTCTGTCTCTAAATAAAATACAAAATAGGGCTGGGGATGTGGCTCAGTGGGTGAGTACCCCTGAATTAAATCCCGGGTATCAAAAAAAAAAAAAAAAAAGTACAGGTGGGTCACACATACCTATAATCCAGGAGACTAACCTTGTCTGGAAAAGGGACTGAAGAGCCAAGCATGGTGGTGCATGCTTATAATCTCAGCAGCTTGGGAGACTGAGGCAGGAGGATCCCAAGTTCAAGGCCAGGTTCAGCAACCTAGCAAGGCCCTAAGCAATTTAGTGAGACCCTGTCTCAAAATATAAAAAAGGGCTTGGATGTGGCTCAGTGGTTAAGCACACCTTGGTTCAATCCCTGGTACCAAAAAAAAAACAGGACTGGGGTGCAGCTGAGTGGTAGAGCACTTGCCTAGCACGCTCAAGGCCCTGGGTACCACAAAAAATAAATAAACAAAAAGAAGAGAAGAAAGGAAAGAAGGGGAAAAGGAAATAAGGAAGGGAAAAAGGAAAAATAACTAAATTCCAGGGGAGGGAAATGAATATCCTAACCTTGTAGAGCAGATGGCCTGGAGACAATGACAACAGCTGGCACCAGGGGGCAGCAGCAAGCCTTCAGGGAGCAAGACGGATCAAAAGCGGCTGGGCTAGACTATGGGGCCTCAGGTGAGGTGCACTGGGACAAAGATCTGAGGGATGTGCTCAGGACTGGTGACTGAAGAGGTGGACGGGAGGTGGCTGCCTTGTGCACTCCAGGGATCACAGCAGAAGGGCCATTTTTCAGCCAGCTGCCTCCAGGAGAAACTTGAGCAGCTTCAGTGGAAGAATTTGGGGCAGAGTTCAAGGCCAGCAGACAGTAGGTTTCCTGCCCTTCCTTCTTCCCCAACTTTGAGAATCCCAGAGCACCGGAAGCTGGGGTTCCCCCATCATCCTCTCATTCCCCCCACAAACATGCCAAGCCCAGACCTGTACAATAGGCACTTTATTAGTGGTTGGAATGCAATTAACAGATGCATAGAGCTGGGCAGACAGGAAGGGGATGGCAGGTGGCAGGCACAGAGATGGGAGACCACAGGCTGGGAATCCTCCCTCTCTGGGATCCTGATGGATAGTGCTGATGGTGCCCATGAGTGAAGGCATGAAGTGGGGGTAGGGGTTGCTGGGTTTGTGGTGGGCAAAGGGGGAACCAGACAACCGGGTCCCCTGAGTTCAACAGTTTGGCAAAAGGATCCCCAAGGTAGGCGAGTAGGCAGAGGGCCCTGTTAGCCCAGGGCACCTGCCCCACCCACCCCTGTCCCCTGAAAACCATCCCTTAGGTGGATTCAGTTTCTTTTCTCTCTTACAAAGAGAGCAGTGTCAATAACTGGCAAAGGAGGGCAGGAGGCATCGGGTCCAATTCTCCAGCCAGGCAACAGGCCAGCAGGTTTCCATTAAGCAATCATTAGCATCTCCTTTGGCGGGCTCTGGTGGTCAAGCCTACTTCCTGCTGCCACTCCCAACATCTGGCCCCATCTCCTCTCATCAAGGGCTCTCCTCAATGAGTCCCCCGCAATATGGCCTCTCTAGTCGGGACTTAGTTACTGCAAGCACACACTCCCAGCCCAGCCACACCCAGTAGGGGGTGGGGACAAATGAAGGCACTCCCTGGCAGCTCCATCCCAGCTGTGGAGACAGATGGAATAAAAGCTAATAGACCCTTTAATGCATGTCCAAGTTAAAAAATAATAATAAAGAAATGCATCCGGCGGCCCTTGAGCCAACTGTTCAGCCGTGGAGATGGGTTTCAGTCCTGGCTAGAGAGGCAGGGGGAACTTGGAACTCAAGTTCAGCACAGCCGCTGCTCTCTCATATACAATCTCAGTCCTTCCCATTGTTCTCCCACTGTGGTCTAAGAAGAGGACAGGAAGCATGAAGGAGCTGGCAGAAGTCTGGCCACCTCCCATCCCAGGCATCAAGAGGCTACACCGGATTTGTCCCCATCCAGGTCAGTGAGAGCTAAAGTGACTCATTTCATCTCAGTCTTGCAGGGCTGCTGTGGAAACTCCGAGCACCCCTTGGCATAGGGAAGAGATACCCCAAATCCTCCAGGTCCCCAGAAACTGGCAGTAACTAGATCATGAAGAGGGGGCAGAGAGGCAGTGACAGGACTTCAGGCAACTCCGATGGGCTGGGGGTACTGACCCAAGCCGCCGACCAAGCACCCAGTTGGAGGGCTCTGGAGAGGCAGGGGAGGCCGGACCTTTAGGACTCTGCCACCTTCTTGTTGGTCTTGTTCAAGAGCTTCTTGAGAGCGGAAGACATGAAGTAAGGCCTCTCAGCTGACCCATCGTTTCTCTCCAGATCCTCCACTGCAGAGAGAGGCCCCAGAGCAGGTGGCATGAGAGAGAGTCCACAGGCAGGGGCCTCGGGGACAGGGTGAGGGGATGAGGGCCATAGAGAAGCCTCAGAGGGTTAGAAAGCAAGACACACTAGGACCAGAGGGGCAGTCTGTAGTGGGCTTGGGAAGGGACCACATGATCCCACACTCCCAGGCAAGGGAGCCCCCCCACATGCACCTCCCCCAGCCTACGGGGAGGACACCTGGCTCCCAGGCGTCTCCCTCACTCTCTACTCCTCGACTTCCTCCTGCTTGCCCTCCTCCGCACTCCCCTTTAACAGGATGTCTCTCAGCTCGGGCGACATGAAGTAGGGTCGCTCCTGAGAGCCGTCATTCCTCTCAAGGTCCTCACCTGGGCCCCCCAGGAACCGGCGGGGGAAAATGGGGTAGTCAGGAAAGGAGGGGGAAAGGGAGGCAGGGGAAGAACGGGGAAGCCAGCAGGCATGGAGGAGAGGAAGAGAAAAGAAAAAAAAAAAACAGACAGACGGAGAGACCAGAGTTAGTGGCAGCCATAGATCCACCCCCAACAAAGCCAGAAATCCAGAGCTGAGGACCCAGGGGCAGAGGGTTCCAGCTGTAGCCCAGGCTGGGGGACCACGGGATGGAGCAGCTCCGTGCAGTGAGGAAGCCAGGAAGGCATGCTAGGGCCCCGGGACAAGGGACAACCTGGGGAAGCGGAGGGCACTGAACACTGATGTGTGCCCACTGGAGGGAGATGGCATGACCCACGGGAAGGAGGGATTTGGGGCCCCATGAGGGCTGGGGTGAGAGGTCACTCACAGAAGCAGAGGAATAACGTATCCACACACATGCCGTAGACGCTGAAGAAACCATGGGCAATCAAGTAGGACCCAACAATCACCGTCTGGGGGAGGAGAGATGGCTTGTTTCTGCCCCAGCTCTTGCCCAGAACAAGCCCCACCCACCAAGTCCTTCCTAGACTGCCATCGTGTCAATCCCCTGTTGATAAGCCCTCTTTGGAATAACAACTTCTCACCACTGCTGACAGGATCCCAGGGCCCAGGCTGCTGTCCTGACTTAAGTGTAATTCATGCCTCATCATCTTTCTGCTTTCAGCTTAAATAGCAAGTCCTCAAGTACCACCTACTCCAGAAGTTGCCTCCAACACCTAGACCCTGTTTTGGGCTCTCCTGGCATTATGCACCCTACCTCAGGCCTGCATTCAGCTTCAATTTCATACATGTTTTTAGGGAATTATAGGTTTAATAACTACTAGACTGTATGGGTGTATTTATTGCTATATCCCTAGCAATTTGGAGACTCCTAGGGCCTTGGGAGTCCGATAAACATTTGTTGACTGAAGTTGACTTTAGAGAGATTAAAAACTTTGCCCAGTTACTCACCCTAGAATTAACAAATACAGGAAATAAGATTAAAAAAAAAAAAAAATCTAGGTCACTGGGCCCCAAGGCCTGTACTGCTCTTGGGATGGAGACTCAACCCTTCCAACCCTGTCAACTCCTTATCCTCCTCTCTAGCTCCTTACTCTCACATCAACACACTGGTCTCCTCGCTGCTCCTGGTGCAGGGTACTGTCTCAGGGCCTCTGTACTTGCTGTTCTCTCTGCCTGGCAGTCACCTACAGCTTCAGATCTCAGATTCAGTATCATTTGCATGAAGTCACCTGGACCCCTTGACCTACCCAGATCCTTCGCCTCAGACCCTAATGATTCCCTATAGTGTGTAAATATGCCGACAACATGTCCCAGATGGCAATTTACACTCACCAATATCATTCTCTTCTTTTTTTTTTTTTTTTTAAGGTTCTGGTGACCAAACCCCAGGTCTTGATCATGCCAGGTAAGCACTCTACCCCTGAGCTAAATCCCCAGCCCCTTTTTTTCATTTTTGAAACAGGGTCTCACTAAGTTGCATAGAGCCTTGCTAATTTGCTGAGGCTGGCCTTGAACTTTTAATCCTTCTGCCTCCGCCTCCTGAGTCACTGGGAATACAGGCCTAGGCCACCTCACCTGGCTTGCCAGTACTATTATTGATTGATTGATTGATTGTGTGCCACCAAGCCTGGCCCAATAAGTTCTTTTTTATTATTATTATTTTTTTGTGTGTGTGATGCTGGGGATTGAAGCCAGGGCTTTGTGCATGCAAGGCAAGCACAATACCAACTGAGCTATATCCCCAGCCCCCAATATTAATTCTTAATTAATGTCTGTTTACCTCTAAATTGTAAAGCCTCTAAAGGAAAGGACATCTACAAAAATGTTTATGGGCTGAATAAATATTCAGTCCATCTGACTTTCATCCACATCTGTCCAAAGGAGGCCAAGCATGTCCCAACACCTCCTTATCCCCAGACTTCTATCTGTCCCCAAAGATCTCCATACCAGTATTGGGACCCAGTAATAATTGAGAGGTGGTGCTGTATCTTGCACGATCCTGATACGATGGGTGAAGAAGAAGAAAGCAAGGATTCCTGGAGGTAGGGGAAAGAACACAAAGATGGTTGAGAGTTCTGGCTATAGGAAAAGAGCTCCCCAAGGTGACATTTATCATAGAAGAGATGGAGCATGATGGCATTTCACAAGTCACTCCCAACAGGCTGCCATACTATGACAGGTGGGGTAGTGGCACTCACCCACACTGCCCACGATCAGAAGTTTGCCCAACAGGAAGAGGAAGTCGGTAACTTTGTCTAGGACGGCCACTCTGCAGGGAACAGTGAGGGGCAGATGTGAATATTGGCTCAAGGACTGGGGAGAGAGGGAAGCAACAGGAGGGAGGTGTCTTCCCTGACCTGATGATGTTTCTCATGAGCAGGAAGAAGGCATTCCTAGCTGAGGTGCAGAAGTTGGTGCCGTAGATGGCGATCTGGAAGGGAGGAGGAAGGATCAGGCCCACTGGGTAGGGAACTCACCAGGCAGGAACTGGTGAGTTCATTCTCCGACGGTCTGGGCCACTCACCATGATGTAGGCATTCCTGTTGAGGAATTTGATGAACTTCTCCAGGCACCAAAAGCAACACTTGAGACAGGTCATGAGAAACTTGGCAAACTTGTTCTCCGCAGCTGGAAGAGAAAGAAAGGGATGCAAAAGTGGATAGAAATTCAAGAGTCCTTGGCCCCGCAATAATGAATGAGCCAATTGTAAAGCTCTTTAGCCCCGCCCCCAAGACACTCAATCTCTGAACACACACTGCTGCACAGGCCCCGCCCCCAAGCCCAAGCAGAAGCCTCATCCCGCCCTCCTTGCTGGAGCCAATGGTGGCTCAGGCCTCTTGGACCCACCCCTCGGGAACCAATCACGTCAGCCCCTCAGCTCCCCACCCCAACAGGCACAAACCAATTATGTTCCCATCCCTTTTTTTTCACCCACCACCAAGCAAGAAGGAATCCCCAGATCTTCACATAGTCCCGCCCCCAGCAAGAGATAATAACAGCCCTGGCGGGACCACACCTTTCAGGCGCTGATCCAAATACTCAAGCATCACTCGGATGATCTGCACAATGGCCAGAATGAGGGCACCAAAGGCCAAGGATCCTGTGTGGTACCTGTGGGCAAAGGAGATGGTCAGCAGCTGGCCAGAACACCTCCACCCCAATCCATCCCCAGCCCTGAACTACCTGAGTGCCCGGCCAAAGGCAGAGAAGAGCGGGAAGGCTGGCAGGTCGTCTGGCTTGCGCATGGCCCAGTAGTAGGAGGCAAATGCCCCAGCCAGTGTGACCTGGCCCAGCGCCAGCACGAAGTTGGCCAACCAAAAGAACATGAAGGCATTGAAGATCTGCAGGCCCAGCAGCGCGCGGTGGTAGCCCGACTCACCGCCATAGAAGGCGAACTGGCAATGCGCGTTGGGGCATAGGCGGGATTCATTGGAGGAAGGGAAGGTCTGGGAGAGGGACACAAGACCAAGTCAAAATACAGGGGCCAGGAGTTCAGTTGGGCTCCGGGCATCACTGAGTGGCCAGTCAGGTTAGACCATAGGATAAGACAGAAGTCATGAGGATCAAAGTGCCATCAAGGAATTGGAGTTCATGTTAGGGGCTGGTGGAACACAAGAAGTGGTTCTAAAAACAAGAACAGTCATCATAGTGGTCGAGAAAAGGGTGTAGGCACAAGACATGAAGTGAAGGGGGAACAAGATGTGTAGTTCAGCACCCAAAATGGGGGAAAGGCCAAGTGTATCACTTCCCAGTTTGTTCAGAAAAGTTGCCAGGTCCAGGCTTGGGGGGTCTCTTCAACTCCATGTCACTGATACCCAGTACAGTGCAAACAGCAGGTGCCAAATGTCTGCCATATGATCTCCAAGTAGGGATGAGAGGTTTCAAAATGTCTGAGAGCTGCTGGGGCGATACCTGCCCTCCCTACCCGGGGAACACCCACCTCAGGGTTGCAGGTTTTCCCAGCTAGTGAGCAGGTGGCATCATCCAAAATCTTATAGACAGCTTCATTAGAAGTGGACAGGAAGCTAGAGGCTCATTAAGGAACTTGAAATCTGGGCCTGGGAACCCTAGGGGCTTATGAGAAAGGATACACACCCCCACCACCACCTCCATCACCACCATGATCCAGCCCTGTCCCCCAGGCTGTCAGAAATAGGGTCTGGAGATGGATACACAGCAGTGCTGGCCCAGTATGCGATGCAAAGACACAGCAGGAAGAAGGTGACCAGAGGGTACAGCAGGGAGCACATAACGTATCCCACAGCCCTGGGGAAGAGCAGAGACAGAGACATCAAGACCTGAAGAGACTTAGGGAAAAACCCAGCCAGGTCCCCTCGTGTGCTGGACCCCACCTGCTGGCTTCTTTGATGAGTGCAATGGCGATGAGAATTCTCTTCCGGAGAAAGATGAGCAGCAAGATGATGACCACTTCAAGAATGCTCAGAATGATCACTGTAAGAGGCAGAGGATGAGCCGTTTGGGCTCCCCACTATCGCCCAGGCTCCACCAGAGGCAGGATTAGGGGGCTTCAACTCACTGAAGGCCATCCAGGTCTGCCGTAAGTGCAAGTATACCCGGAGGTCTGTCTGGAAGCCAAGGTCCACCAGGGAGACATCAGAGCCGGCCTCCCCACGCAGCCGGGCATACTCCATGTAGCAGTGAAATATTCCTGCACAGAATCACCACCTTAGCCCAGCAACTCCATTGTGTAGATATACCACATTTTCTTTTTCTTTTCCTTTTTCTGGTACCAGGAATTGAACCCAGGGGCGCTTAACCACTAAGCCACATCCCCACCCATCCCCCTTTTCTTTATTTTTAATTTTGAAACAGGGTCTCACTAAGTTGCTCAGGGCCTAAGTTGCTGAGGCTGGCCTTGAACTTGTGATCTTGGTGCCTTGCCTGTACCCCTTAGCTCTTTGTAAAACAAAATTGTAGGACAAGGGTGCAGCGTGGTGGTAGAATGCTTTCCTGGCATGGACAAGGTCCTTGGTTCCATCCCCAGCACCGCAAAAAATAAATTATAAATAAAAATGTAAGTACAGTTATTAACAACAAATCAAGTCACCTAAAATGCCAGCACCCAACCAGAAACCACTATTAACCTGAACATTTGGATACTGTGTCCTCAGATGGGAGGACACACCAAGCAAGTTGAAGTGAAGCATCAGCATATGAAGCACTGGTTTGGGAGTGAAGCCTCCAAATTCCAAAGTCCTGCTCTAAACAAGCCCTTCCCCTGATTTTATCCTCACATTGTCTCCTTCTCATTAAGCCTCCAAACTAGTAAATACTAATTATCCCCATAACACGAAGAAAGAAATTGAGGCACAGTGAGGCTTAGTCACTTGCCCAAGGACACAGAACTAGGAAGTGACAGAGCAAGAATTTGATCCCCTGCTAGTGTAGGTACCCCTTTCCCTGGTGCTAAAAAGCCTTCTTGAGAATGTCTTTTGGTGTTGATAAAATGCTGACCTAGGTCCTAGTTTGGAAAGCTACAAATAGCCAGAGATTTGGGGGATATTTGTTTGTTTTGAGCAGTCCTGGGGAAGAAATCCAGGGCTTTGGCCATGCTAGGCAGGTGCTCTAACACTGAGCTGCAACCCCAGCCCTTAGTCTGGTTTTTGTTTGTGGAACTGGGGACTGAACACAAGGGGACTGCACATGCTAACAAGTACTCTACCAAAGAGCCACATCCCCAGTGCCAGAGAGCTGGATTGAACCCATCCCCTATTGGGGGCACCGAAGTTGTTTTCAACTAGCAGCTCTTATAAACAGGTCAAAGGGCATGGGCATTCTGTAGACTGTAGGCAAGGGTGGATACAGAGGGGGAGAGACACACCATAGCCCAGCACCAGAATCACCATGACGATCATCACCCAGACCATAATGCCAGCCAAGAAGCGCAGCAGGATGATGAAAAGGAGGCTCAGCACCATGGCGATGACCAGGCCTCTGGGGGATAAAATAGGGACATTAGAAGATCCTATCCTACAAGAGCCTCGGATGGGGCAGCCAGGGGAGAGCCACCTTCCCTGTAACTCACATGACAATCCAGTACCAAGAGACGGTATAATCTTCAAATATCCGCATGGCCAGCTGTCGTGCCTCCAGAACGACATTGGCCTTTCTGGGGGAAGATAGGAGAGGCTCAGGACAGACACCCCTCCTGGCCCAGGGTATGCCCTCTCCCAGCCAGGGCAGTATGACACTAATGTGGGGGCCTCAATCCTCACTTGGCACCCTCCACCAGTTCTGTGATGTTCTTCCGAGAGCCGTGCCCATCTTCATAGGTCGTCTCGTTGCCCACCATGAGGACCCCTTTGTGAGCATGGATGGCTGGGAAGCATCGCCGGGCCACTGGAGGCAACAGGGGACACGAGCTGTCAGGCTGAGCCCTGCAGACCTTCCCCCACCCCAGCCTGGCCTTATGGAACTCCAGACTAACAGGGTTTGCTGGGGGTGAGAACAGCAGGGCAGTCACCATCTCGAAGCACTTCTGCCACACCCTGCCAAGAGAAAGAGGGAAGAGGCAATCCCCCAGGCTGGCACCACTAGATGCATGCCTGAGCGCCCAGGGCAGCTTCCTGCTCACCTTATTGTTCTGGAAGCCAGGAACACAGAACTGCTTGTAGTACTCGAAGTCCCGACTATTTCGGGCACTCAGGAAGGTGAGGTAGCGGTCGGGGCATTTCTCCACACAGATCTGGGGGCAGAAAGACGAGAGCAGACTCAGTCAAGACAGACAGCAGATCCCCACTTAGGGACCAGGTTCCACCCCACATTTATGGGGCACAGAAAGTGAACAGGAGAGCAAAGCGGAGAGGTGGGGACAAGTTACCTGTGGGGTGGGACACTGGAATTCCAGCAGGACCAGGGGGCTGGCACACTTCACAATGTTGAAGTAGAACAGGAAGGGTTTGTTCCTAGGATTGGAGAAAGGAGAATAGAAATAAATAGTCAAGGCTTCTCAACTCCCCCACACACATAAAAATCTTTATGAAAACAACCAATGAAAACCAGAAGCCAGGCCTCTGTCGTCCCAATGACTTGGGGTACTGGGCAGGAGGATGGTAAGTTCAAGTTCAGCCTGGGCAATTTAGCAAGATTCTATCTCAAGATAAAAATGAAAAAGGACTAGAGATGTGGCTCAGTGGTAGAGAGTCCCTGGGTTCAATCCTCCGTAAAAACAAATGAACAAAAATAAAATCTCGCAGCAGTTGTTCCATGACAGACACTATCCAAACTCTGTTCAGGTCATAGATCGTCAAACTCAAAACAGAAGAAAAGGAGGCTCAGAGGCCGAGGGCATGGCTCTGTGGTAGATGGTGCAAACTTGAAGCCCTGGCTGGGTCCCCACCACTTGCACATGCAAAAAAAAGGAATAAGTAGAGACTTGCCTTTCTTGTTGTCTAAACAGCACGGTACACTAACGTTTATGTAGCATTTATATTGTATTGTGCACTCGAAATCATCTTACATGATGAGAGGTGCTGAAGTCTACTGAAGGATGTGCCTTGATCCTGAGCAAATACTATTCCCTTTATTGAGAGACTGGAGCGTCCAATCATTTTGCAGGGGGTCCTGGAAGAAACCACCCTTGGGTGCTGAGGGACGACTGTACTTGTGGACTGGATTAATAATGGACTGGACAGGGAAAGCCCAGAACCACCCCCTGTTCTTATGAAGCCCTTCTGCCCACCAGGGGAAGCCCACTCACGCATTTTTTGTGCCTTTCTGCCCGCAGAACTCCCCACGGCTGTCAGTAGGATAGATCACCTTTCGAGGGTCCCCATGGGTCCAAGCTGTGGAGGGATTCAGCCACCTTTGAGCAGCAGCCCTCCCCCTGCCCCAGAGGCTGCACTGTCCCCTCCCACCCTAGAACCCACCTTCTCCTAAGGGCTCCTCTACTCACCTATGATGCCCACGGCCACATAACCCACAATGGCCAGAAGAAGCAGCACACAGCAGATGACATCCGTGCAACCCCTGGAACAGAGGGAGAGTGTCAGGGCAAGGGTCCATTGGCCCTTATATACCTGTTTCCATGCATAATATACATTTTCCTGAGTAGCTTGAATGCTGTGCCAAAGGGTATATGCATTTTACGTTTTGATATCTAAATGCTGTGCTGTCCTCAAAAGAGGGTTATGACAGGAATGTGAAGCTCTCTCGTGCTTCAGTGTTCATTTCCCCACATCATTTCCTTTTTCTTCTTTCGGTACTGGGAATTGAACACAGGGACACTTTACCACTGAGTCACATCTCCAGTCCTTTTTATCTTTTATTTTATATTTTGAGACAGGGTCTCACTAAATTGTTTAGGGTCTCACTGAGTCGCCAAGGCTGGCCTCGAATTTGCCATCCTCCTGCCTCAACCTCCTGAGTGGCTAGGATTAGAGGCATATACCACTCCACCTGGTTATTTTACCACATCTTTACCAGCAATTTCTAGTAACATTTTGTCCATGTGTGCAAGGTTTACTGGGAATTTTTTTCCCTAAAATTAAAATTTGGGGGGGCAGTGAGTGTAGCTCAGTGGTAGGGTGATTGCCTAGCATGCCTCTGGCTTTGGGGTCCATCCCCAGCACTGCAAAAAACAAACAAACCAAAACCAAAAAAAATTTTTTTAAAGAATTAAGTTTTGGGAACAAAGAGATTTACATTAAGAAAATTTTATATTCCAGTTGGGCACAGTGATGCACACCTGTAATCTCAGAGACTCAGGAGGCTGAGCAGGAGGATCACAAGTTCAAGACCAGCCTAGGCAATTTAGAGAGACCCTGTCATAAAACAGAAAAAGAGTTTGGGGGTGTAACTCAGTAGTAGAGCACCCCTGAGTCCAATCCCTAGTACCAGGAGGTAAAAGAAAACAGAAAATTGGGCTGGGGATGTGGCTCAAGCGGTAGCGCGCTTGCCTGGCATGCGTGCGGCCGGGGTTCGATCCTCAGCATCACATACAAAGATGTTGTATCCGCCGAAAACTAAAAAATAAATATTAAGAATTCTCTCTCTCTCTCTCTAAAAAAAAAAATAGAAACTTCACATTTTCAATTACCTCTCCAAAAAACTGTACCAGCCAGTTATAGATGTATGAATCTGTAGTCCCCACTACCCAGAAGGATCACTTGAGCCTAGGAGTTTAGGCCAGACTGGGGAATATGGCAAGACCCTATCTCAAAAATAAATAAAGACTAGCAGGGCTTGATGGTGCAAACCTGTAATCCCAGCTATTCTGGAGGCTGAGGTAAGAGGATCTCAAATAAAGTCAGTTTGAGCAATTTAGTGAGAAACTGCCTCAAAAGAAAAGATCAGGGCTAGGGATATAGCTCAGTGGTAGAATACTTGCCTAGCCATTTGCAAGATCCCAGGTTGGATACCCAGTATTGCAAAAAATAAATTAATAAATAAAGACTGCACCAATTAATTTCAGAGCAGAATATGTGTCAATCTTTTATCTGTGCTAATCTCTGATGGGGAAATACAATCTGTTATTCTTTTAAATTACATTATTTTATTTTTTCCTGAAGTTGAGCGTTTTTTTCTTAAGTTCATTGTCTACAGTACTTCTTGTCCTGCCAATGATCTGATCCCATCATTTGTTTGTTTTTAAAATCCATTTGCAAAGTTGGAAGTGTAGCTCAATGGAAAAGTTGATCCCCACTACCAAAAAAAAAAAAGGATGGAGAGACAAGAAATCTAGTCAGGTGCAGTGGTGCACATATGTAATCCAGAGACTTGAGGCTGAGTCAGGAGAATCACAAAAAGTTCAAGGCCGCCCTCATCAAAGCAACTTAGTGCGATACTGTCTCAAAACAAAAATAATAATAAAATAAAATAAAAAGAGGTGGAGACATAGCTCAGTAGTAGAGTACCCCTGGGTTCCAAAAAAAAAAATCTGTAAGGTCTTCTTTGTATATTACAGAAATCAGTCCTTCCATCAGGTTGCAAATATTTATCACCAGTCTACTGGAGAACAGAAGGGAGGAGAGCAGAAACAAGAGTTGGGCCAGTATAAGCAGGAATAGCATTGCCTGCTGCCAGGAATCCAGAGCCCTTACCTGTTGTAAATGGGTCCTTTGAAGGTAGGATCGTACTTCTGGGGAGTTCCTGAAAGTCAACAGGATTAAGCTAGGTAGGTCAGAAAATCTGAACTAAGAACAGGCTGCGAAACCCATTGCCCCAGATGACCGTAGGTGTGCTTTGCGTGGGCAGGAGTAAAATTTAGAACGCTAGTGCAAATTTTTGGCACCACTGTACCTCCAGGCCACCACACCCAAGTCCCCAGTCAGTGCATACCACTGCCCGGGGCGGGAGAGCCCCTCATAGTTACCAGCGAGATTATCAGCCGGCGGCTGACCAGAGGTGGAACACCAGGAAGGGAACCTGGCGGAAAGGGAAGGTTCAAGGTGACATGAGGGCAGGGGGCTTCTGCAGCGGAAGGGGCTACGGAAGCAGGTCCTTAGGGGAAGGGGGGTTGGAAGCACGAAGGAGAGGCAGCTCTGGACAGAACTGGGGTGAGGGAGGCTGGCAGGGGATGGGGACTCAGGCAGAGATCTGCAATTCCGCTCCAGCCTCTAGTGGTCTTTCCTCCCGTCCCCGAGGTCCCCCGGCTGCGCCTTCCAAGGAGCCAGCCCCGGGGCGCGGGACGGGGCTCAGCCTACCGTGCTTCCCGTAGTAATCCTGCCGATCGCCCCCCATCCCTGCGGGCGCCGGGCCCCGACGGCGCCCTCCAGCTCCCGCGCCCTCGCAGTCCCGGGGTCTGGACGCGCAGACGTCCCGAGAGACACCCGGAGCTAGCGAGCGAGCGACTGGCGGCGGCTCCTCCCAGCCAAGTGCCAGGCTGGGCGGCCCAAACCGGTCAGACCGGCCCGAGCCAAGGGACAGAGGGGAGGGACGGAAGAGGGGGCCGATCCGGGCAGCAGCTGCTCCCGCCACTCACCAACCGCCGGATTTAGCCCTCCCAGCCCCCCACAGCAGCCCAGCCCCCACCCGGGAACCCGGTGGCTTCACCCTGGGGCCTCAGCCCACCCTGCTGCCACCCACCTAGCGACACCGAAAGGAACAGTTTCCAACCCTAAAGAGGCGCCTCCACTGTTCCATTCTGCAGGTGTAGAAACTGAGGCAGACAGCTGGGCCCCAACAACCAACTGTGAAGTACTGGGATAGAAAACTCAAACCGGTGAAGGAGTTTTATTTATTTTAGTCTTTTTCTTTTTTCTTTTTTGAGACAGAATCTCCCTCCCGGGCTCCAGCAATTCTCCTCTCTCAGCCTCCCACTAGCTTGGACTGCAGATCCACCACCCAACAAGGCCTCCCAATCTACTTTTCAAGGACAGTTGTACACAGAACAGCCCACCACACAGTTATCATGGTATTATACAGTCCCCGTGGGGGTGTCTTCAGCAATGTGGGGTCTACATTCAGTGTGCTGAGATTCCTACATTTGGTGTTCCATAACTGTAGCAGTTGCTACCTCAGTGAAACACCCTAGAGGGGGCCTCTGGTCACTGACTTAGTTTGCCCCTAGAGAAAATGCCACCTCCCTTGTTGGCCTCCAGCTAAGGAGGCCCTGCCTGACCCCTGGACCACAGGCTTCAGCAAACAGGCGAGGCCCAAGGCGCCAAGCCATGCCCTTGGGTGACCAGGGCTCCCAAAGAAACCGTGTGGTTCCTAAAGTCCCTGCCAGCCCTAAGGCCAGCTGGTCCCACTCCACCCAGTCTGAGCAGTGGACAGATATCAGGCTGGTCCCAGGCCACAAGCCTCATCTGTTCCTGGCTACCTGGTCCATGGGGAACACTCAAACTCAAGACCCCACCTACAGAGTCCTCACTGACAACTCTAAAATGTCTGCTTCCTCACACGGGTCTCACCCCACATTTGTGAGGCACCTCCCTCCCCTCACCCCACACTGCCACTTCATGCTCAGCAAGGAGGTCACGTTTGAGCCCCTGATTGTCCCTCAGTCTGCCTAGACATGGTAATTGGCAGCTCCATCCTTCCAGATGCTCAGGCCAGAAACCTGGGAGCCCCCTCTGGACACACCTGCCCTGCCTTCAGACCCTTCCAGAACCAAGCTTTCCTCATCCCCTCCTGCCCCCTACCCTGTCACACAGCAGATCATTTCCTTCCAGGACCCTTGCAGGCACCTCCACCTGACTGACCTGCGCTCACCCAGGCTCCAGTCTGTCTCTCCACAGCAGGCTCCTAAATCAGAGTGCACCCTCCTCTGCTCAGAACCCTCGGTGGCCTCCAGGTTGCTCTGAGGAAAAGCGGAAATCTTCATCATGGCCTCTTCCTTCCACTGGACCCTTGGCTTGCTCTGAGCATTCTCACCAGCCTCCTGACTGTACCAGAAAATCCCCACCAGACACCTCAGGGCCTTTGTACTGGCGGTTCTGTTCCCTCCGCATAGAAACTCTTTTCCCAGATGTCTCCATGTAGCACCTCCTTGGTCCTCTGCTAAAATGTCTCCTTGGAGAGGTCTCCTCTGCCCACCTTAGCTAAACAGTATAGCTCAGTGGTAGAGCACATTCCTAGTGAGCACAAGGTCCTGGGTTCATCCTCACTACCACAAAAAATAAATAAGCAAATAAACAAACAGATAAAACAGGGCCCCTTTCTCTTCTATCTCATCACATTCATTTTATTTTAACATTTTTTATAGCCAGGGTCTCAATACGTTGCCACAGTTGACCTGAAATCTCTGGGCTCAAGAGATCCTCCTGCCTTAACATCCCAAGTAGCTAGGACCAAGTGTGTGCTTGTTTCTGAGCCAGCTCCACTGCCTTTTAAATGTTGTCTGTTGTGACTGTCTTTTACTTATTGGTTGTTGAGTGTGTGCCCCTTTGTCTCCTGGCTGAAATGCACAGGAAGTTGTCTCTTTTGTTCTTAGTTCTGTCTCCAGTGACCAGCATAGCACACCACATAAAACAGGACCTCAGTAAGGGTTTGATGAATGAATAAGCACAATATATAATCCATACACATAGAACTAAGACTGAGCTATGTCCCCAGCCTTTTTTTTTTTTTTTTTAATATTTATTCTTGGGGCTGAGGATGTGGCTCAAGCGGTAGCGCGCTCGCCTGGCATGCGTGTGGCCCGGGTTCGATCCTCAGCACCACATACAGAGATGTTGTGTCCGCTGAGAACTAAAAAATAAATATTAAAAAATTCTCTCTCTCTCTCTCCCACTCTTTCTTTAAAAAAAAAAAAAATATTTATTCTTAAGTTTTAGGTGGACACAATATCTTTATTTTACATTTATGTGGTGCTGAGGATGGAACCCAGTGCCTCGTGCATGCTTGGCCAGCACTCTACCACTGAGCCACAGCCCCCAGTCCTTTTTGTTTTTATTTTGAATCAAGGTCTCACTATATTGCCCAGGCTGGCCTTGAATTTGTCATCCTCTAACTTCAGTATCTGCCCCCACCAGTCACCAAGATTAGAGGACTATGCCACTATTCAGGGCTAAAGGTACACCCACACACATTTTTGTAGTTGTAGATGGACAGAATGCCTTTTATTTTATTTGTTTATTTAATTTTTTATGTGATGCTGAGGATCAAACCCAGTGCCTCACACATTAGGCAAGTGCTCTGCCACTGAGCTACAGTCCCAGCTCAAGGTACACATATTTTTTTTTTTTAAGAGAGAGCGAGGGGGGGGGAGAATTTTTAATATTTATTTTTTAGTATGTGGTGCTGAGGATCGAACCCAGGCTGCACGCATGCCAGGTGAGCGCGCTACCACTTGAGCCACATCCTCAGCCCAAGGTACACATATTTTAAAAACAAATTTGCGAAGGACTAGGGGTGTAGCTCAGTGGAAGAGTGCTTGCCTAGCACTCTCAAGGTCCCAGGTTCCATCCCCAGGACAAAAAAAAAAAAAAAAGTTAGTTTCTGGATATTTTTTACTTAAAATAATTTAATATATGACAAAGGTAGAATTCTCAGTCTTCAAGGAGAGGGCAAATTCTTTGGTCAGTAGCCTTGATGCATATTTGGAGGAAAATAAACTTAACCCCACCCCCAAATGCATAGCAAAATAAATTCCACATGGATTAATCATGCAAATATATAAAAAACAGAAGTATTACAAGTATGAGAAGGAAAACAGGAGAAACATCTACCGTGTGATAGGAAGCGAGACCAGAAAGGCATGTGGGAGGAGAGATAAGGGATTACCAGAAGTTTTTGATGTTAGCTGGAGTATCTACAGGCTGCCACAGGGGTGGGGGACTCGGTGGTGGCACGTGCCTGTGGTCCAGCTGTAACAGTGGCCCACTTCACCTTTTGAATATAGCTCTGAGGCTTATTTTTAAAAGGGATGTGTTTTCCTTTTCCTCTACTCCCTCTCCCGCTAACCTGGGGCAGGGAACAAGATTACTAGGAGTTATCTGGGCTCAACAGGAGGGAGATGTCAGCTAGAGGATCTAGGAAGTGAATATCTCCCAAATTAACAAGTGAATCCTAACACACCATCAGCTCACACCAGAAAAGTAGCCTTTGAATAGGTCTTTTAAAATCCCCCTGTTGTTCCTCCAGATGGGCAGAATCACAGCCTCTGGGCCTGGAGCTAGCAAAACAATAAAACAACTTTTTCCTTTTTTCTCAAAACGGTGTCCTCATTATTAAATTGGGATTAATTGGCTTTGGGGACAAGGATCAAGCTTTTGTTTATACAGCAACTCTAAGGCAGGAGGAGCACAAGTTTGAAGCCAACCTGGAATACTCAGAAAGACCCTATCTCAAAAAAAAAAAAAAAAAAAAAAGGTGGGGGGGTAGCAGAGGTAGAGCGCTTGCCTAGCATGCATAAGATCCTGGGTTCAATCCTTAGCACCACAAAGAAAGAAAAAAAAAAAAAAGAAAAGAAAAGTCAGTGTTGACCCAGGAGGTCTCAAGACCTTTCAAACTCTTTGCCATAATGGAGACTCTGTCAACACAGAGGAAGGCAGAGGAAAGAAAGCTCAGGGAGGAAATGCAATTTACCTGTCACCAAGGAGGCCCATCCCCAATCTAGGTGTGACTGGTCAAGTAGGAGCCACTGAGGGTGTCTGAGCCTGACAAGGCCACACTAGGAAGGGAGATACACCGGGTGGTCTCAGACAGCTCTTTCACTCAGGGAAACAGTGGCGGGCCTGAGGATTTAGTGCCAGGGGTGTGGCAGCAGGACCTGGCTGGGTGAACATGAATCACCCCTTTGTGAGATAAAGCTAAAAATACAGAGGGGCACCTGGGACGGGGTTGGCTTCTGTCCTGGCCTTGTGGGCTCTCAGGAAACATAAAAGGGAACATTGACCTTGCCATCTATGGGTTCCATTAGCTCTTAAGAACCTTACTGGGTGGGGTTGAAGGGAAGAGAGTGGCAAATACTAATGGTTTTTAATTGAGCCCAATCCAAAACCTGCCAGATGGGGAATTGGCTGAACAAATCTCTGCAAGAATGCTAGAAGATACCATCAAAACAGTACTCATGGGCTGGGGATGTGGCTCAAGCGGTAGCACGCTCGCCTGGCATGCCTGTGGCACGGGTTCGATCCTCAGCACCACATACAAACAAAGGATGTTGTGTCCGCCGAAAAAACTAAAAAATAAATATTAAAATTCTAAAAAAAAAAAACAAAACAAAAACACCACACTACTCATGTCCCCATTTTCCTGATGTTTGCCATGTGCCGGGCAATCTTCTAAAATATTATACAGTTGCCAGACGCAGTGGTATATGCCTGTAATCTCAGCTGAGGTTGAGGACCTTGAGTTCAAGGTCTCCAAATAAAAAATAAAAGGGCTGGGGATGCAGCTTAGTGATAGAGCATCCCTGGGTTCAGGCCCAGTATCAAAAATAAATAAATAAAGTCACAGAATTGACCTCAATTTTAATCTGTACAGCAACTTCTTTGTGAGATTGATCCTACCATTAAGTTTATTGGACAGATGCAGTAAATGAAGCTGAGAGAGATATAACATGCCCATCATCTCAAAGTCTGTGAACAACAAACAGCTTGTCCAACTCCTGAACTAGCATCTGTATAAGTTTCCTATGGTTGCTGTAACAAAACCATCAATTTGATGACGTAAAACAACACAGAGGCTGAAGTAGGAGGATCTCAAGTTCAAAGCCAGCCTCAGCAAAAAGCGAGGCACTAAACAACTTAGTGAGACCCTGTCTCTAAATAAAATACAAAAAAAAAAAATAGGGCTGGAGATGTGGCTCAGTGGTTGAGTGTCCCTGAGTTTAGTCCCTGGTACCAAAAAAAATAAATAAAATATAAAATAGGGCTGGGGATGAGGCTCAGTGGTTGAGTGCTCTTGAGTTCAATCCATGGCACTCAAAAAAGAAAAAAATATATTTTACTTTTATTTATTTAATTGGTATTGGGGATTGAACTCAGGGGCACTTAACCACTAAGCCATATTCAGCTCTATTTTGTATTTTTTTAGAGACAGGGTCTCACTGAGATGCTTAGTGCCTTGCTAAATTGCTGAGGCTGGCTTTGAATTCAAGATCCTCCTGCCTCAGCCTCCCAAACTGCTGGGATTACAGGTGTGGGACACCATGCCTGGCTTATTTTTAATTTTTGCAGCAGCTGGAGCTCAAACCCAGGACCTCCCACATCCTCAGCACCCTCCTTGCCACAAGGTGCACCCCAGGCAATTATCCTACAGTTCAGGAAATCAGAAGTCCAACATGCACCTCCCTAGGCTGTGATTAAGCATCTTCTGGGAATTCTAGATTCTCTGAGAAACTGTAGAGTCTTCTGAGATTCTAGGGATGAATTGATTCCAGGTTCTAGAAGCTTCATTTCTTATCACCTTTATTTTTTTCTATGTGTGGTACTGGGGATGAAATCTGGGGTCTCACACAAGCTGGGCAACTGATCTACCAACTGAGTTATATACCCAGCCCTTTTCTAAAAATTTTAAATTTTGAAACAGGGTCTTGCTAAACTGCCCAAATTGGCCTTGAATTTTCAATCCTTCTGCCTCTTGAGTAGCTGGGATTAGCTGGCATTATAGGCTTGCACCAGCACAGCAGGCTTTTGACCATCTTTAAAGTTCATAATCCCCTCAAGCCCATGTCAGCTACAATTGTCACATGTCCTTCTCTGATTCCCCACCTCCCTCTTTCACTTAAAAGGACTCTTGTCCAGGTGCCCAAGGGTCCATCTGGATTATGCAGAATAATCGACTATTTTAAGATCCTTAGTTTAAATTCATCTTCAAAGCTTCATTTTTGCCGTGTAAACTAATATATACCCAGGTTGAGGAAATTACTGTGGGGACATATTTGGGAGCGAGTACTCTGCCTGCCATAGTTGCTGCTGCTGCTGCTGCTTCTATTTTTTTTATCCGCTGTGCTGGGGATTGAATCTAGAGCCTGTGTGTGCTAGGCCATCATTCCAGCAACTGAGCTACACCCCAGCCCCAGTCATTATTTATTTGCGTCTGTTTATTTTTGGTACCAGAAATTGAACCTAAGGGCGCTTAACCACTGAGCCACATCCCCAGCCCTTTTTATTTTGAGATAGAATCTCGCTGAGTTGCTTAGGGTCTCACTAAGTTGCTGCTACTGGCCTTGAACTTGCCATCCTCCTGTCTCAGTGCTCATACGCAAGTACCACATATTTTTGTTTTCAATATTTATTTTTTAGCTTTTTAGGTTGACACAATATCTTTATTTTATATTTATGTGGTGCTGAGGATCGAACCCAGTGCCTTATGTATACTAGGCGAGCACTCTGCCACTGAGCCACAACCCCAGCCCCACATATTTTTAAATGGTTAAAAAAAATCCAAAGAATAAAGAACAACAGAGACGTTCTTCGCCGAGAGTGGCCGGGGCTTCCTGCTTCAACAGTGCTTGGACGGAACCGGCGCTCGACCCCCACCCCGGCCGCCGCTCAGAGCCAGCAGCCCTTCGCCACCTCTCCAGCGCTGTGCCTCTCCTCAGCCGCCCGCCATGGCTACCACGTCCCCCTCGCAGGTGCGCAGAACTACCACCAGGACTCGGAGGCCGCCATCAACCGCCAGATCAACCTGGAGCTCTACGCCTCCTATGTCTACCTGTCCATGTCTTACTACTTTGACCGTGATGATGTGGCTTTGAAGAACTTTGCCAAATATTTTCTTCACCAATCTCATGAGGAGAGGGAACATGCTGAGAAATTGATGAAGCTGCAAAACCAACCGGGTGGCCGGATCTTCCTTCAGGATATCAAGAAACCAGACCGTGATGACTGGGAGAGTGGGCTCAATGCCATGGAATGTGCTTTGCACTTGGAGAAAAGTGTGAACCAGTCACTTCTGGAACTGCACAAACTGGCCACTGACAAAAATGACCCCCACTTGTGTGACTTCATTGAGACTCATTACCTGAATGAGCAGGTGAAATCCATCAGAGAATTGGGTGACCATGTAACCAACTTGCACAAGATGGGAGCCCCAGAATCGGCCATGGCAGAGTATCTCTTTGACAGGCACATCCTGGGAGACAGTGATAACCAGAGCTAAACCTCAGCCTGACTTTCCCATAGCTGTGCAAGTGACTTCCCTGGTCACCAAGGCAGTGCATGCATATTGGGGTTACCTTTACCTTTTCTATAAGTTGTACCAAAACATCCACTTATGTTCTTTAATTTGTACCATTCCTTCAAATAAAGAAATTTGGTACCCCCCCCCAAAAAAAAAAGAACAACAAAAAAGTTTTAATTAAATTTAATTAAAAGGATTTTTTTTTTTTTTTTAATGAGAAAATGATGTGAAATATCATGAGGAAGGCCTTAGGCCTGAACCTAAGCAACTCCATTTTAAAAACTCCAGTTGAAACCTGCAGTCTCACCAGGCACATCTAACAGAGCCCTCCAATGCGGCCCTCAGATAATTCACTTCCCCTCACCCTGATAAACAGAGTGAAGTCTCTGGCAGGCTGTCCTCACCTGATAAGAGAGAAAGATCAGGATGGAGACCACCAGACCAGATGTTTCTGACCCCAGGGTAAATGATGTCATGGAGAAATCCGGTGGTAACTGATAAGGATTGAAAGGGGAGTCAAAAGCCCCAAAATGTGGTATAAATAATAGAGCTGATGAACAGGGATTCAGCCAGCACTGAGCTAGAATGCCTGAAGAGGACCAGGACTGACATCCCATCACTTGTCATTGTTTCCTGATCCTCTGCATGATCCTCACCACCCTCAAACTCTACCGCCTCATCTGGACCTTGGTGAGAGCCGCAACTTCTCCATATGGTCCCCTCCTCAACTGGTTGTCCACTCCACGACAGGAAAAGCCTGCCTTGGTTCCGGACCTGATCGCTGCTGTCTGAGTGAGTGAGTGTGCATCTGCTAGATGTAAAGCTTAAGGCTTGAGACTTTTGAATTTAGCACGCAGAGGGAATGTCTGTCATGAGCCTGTCATGGTTAAGTGTGTTTGCAGTGCTTAGAATTAATCTAGAATTGTTTGCTGTTAATTAATTAATCTAGAATTGTTTACTGTGCATTGGTTATGTCTATTGCAGTGCCTAGCATTAGGGATTGTCGCTTTCTTGATTAAGAATCTATAGAGAAAAATTATATTGAGTATTTGAGTGAGTAAAACATTAAAAAGAGCAGAAGCACATGGACATTCTTTATTTTTCCCCCTTGGCTGCATATGTCGCAATTTTGCCCCCTAGCGACAAATATACATGTTAACAACTAAGTAGAATGAATAATAAATAAAAATACATACATGTTAGTATCCATAAAGTTTTCCATAAGTGATTTTTTGGTATCAGGGACTGAACTCAGGGCCACTCAACCAGTAAGCCACATCCCCGGTTCTATTTTGTATTTTATTTAGAGACAGGGTCTCACTGAGTTGCTTAGCACCTCACTGTTGCTGAGGCTGGCTTTGAACTTGCAACCCTCCTGCCTCAGCCTCCAGAGCTGCTGAAATTACTGATGTACACCTCGGTGTCCGATTTAAGAAGTTTTCTTCACACATGCAGGACTCATATGTTTCATATTCTCTGTGGCTGCTTTTCCACTACAATGTCAGCATTAAGTACAAGTGGTACCTCACTCATTTATTCCCCACAATGGGTATGGGGGATTGGACACACTGAGAAGGAATGTAATTGTTCCAAAGGGTCCACAGCTTAGAAGTGGGGGTGAGGGGTGTCAGACCCAGCAGGGCTCCCATCGTTCTTGGAGGATGTTGGACACACCTTTCCATCTCTCAGCTGCCATTTTCCTGACTGGAGAATGAAGCTAATACTGACATTTCTTTTGAGGTGTTGCAAGAACTTGATGCTCCAAAAGCACCTAGGTTCATCACTTCAAGAAGTGCCAAGGGGGCTGAGGCTGTGGCTCAGTGGCACAGCGCTTGCCGCACATGTGTGAGGCACTGGGTTCAATTCTCGGCACCACATATAAAAAAATGAAGAAAATAAAGGTCCATCAACAACTAAAAAAGTGTTTAAAAAAAAAAAAAAGTGCTAAGGGTTGGGTGTGGCTCAGTGGTGGAGCACTTGCCCAGCATTTGGTTCAATCTCCAGCACCACCAGAAGAAAATAAATAAATAAATAAGCTAACTATATATAAATTGTTCTCACTTGATAAGGGGAACCAAAAACAGTCACTTAAGCCACACAGCTGGTGGAGGACAGAGACCCGAATCAGATCAGAGCCCCTCTGGAGCCGAATCAGAACTTTTCTTTGGCAGATCCTGACTGCTATGGTTCAAATGTAGTTTGTCCTCTCCGAAACTCATGGAGTTTAGATCCCCTTGTTAGGTATTATGAGGGTAGAAACTGCCAGGCTAAGTGGCACATGCCTGTAATGCCAACGGCTCAGGAGGCTGAGGCAGGAGGATTGCGAGGCTGAGACAGGAGCCTCAGCAAGTGAGGTGCTAAGCAAATCGGTGAGACTCGGTCTCTAAGTAAAATACAAAAATGGCCTTGGGGGCTGGGATTGTGGCTCAGCGGTAGAGCGCTCGCCTAGCATGTGTGAAGCCCTGGGTTCGATCCTCAGCACCACGTAAAAATAAAAGATATTGTGTCCGTCCGACTACAACTAAAAATAATAAATATTTTTTTAAAAAATGGGCTTGGGATGTGACTTAGTGGTCAAGTGCCCCTGAGTTCAATCCCTGGTACCCCCTCCCCCCCCCAAAAAAAAAAAAAAAAAACAAGGGTAGAAACTGGGGCTGGGGCTATAGCTCAGTGGTAGAGTGCTTGCTTGCATGTGTGAGTCATGGGTTCGATCCTCAGCACCACATAAAAATGAATAAATAAAGTAAAGGTATTGTGTCCATCTAAAACTAAAAAAAAAAGGGTAGAAACTGAAGGGGACCATGATGTTTAGAGGTGGGGCCTTTGGAAAGTGGTTAGGATTACTGGATGTGTTATGTGAATAATCTGTTATGTGAATAATCCTCAGTAATCCTAATTTCAGGATCCTTTGGGTTGAGTCCCCCCAGCTGAGCACTGGTGATTTTATAAGAAAAGGGAGAGCCAGGCATGGTGGCACTGACTGTCATCTCAGCAACCTGAGAGGCTGCAGCAGGAGGATCACCAGTTCAAGGCCAGCCTCAGCAAATTGGCCAAGACCCTGTCTCAAAATAAAAAATATAAAGAGCTGGAATTGCAGGGCGTGGTGGTGCCCACACTTCTGTAATCCCAGCAGCTGGGGAGGCTGAGGCAGGAGGATCATGAATTCATAGCCAGCCCCAGCAATTTAGCGAGGTGCTAAGCAACTCAGTGAAACCCTCTCTCTAACTAAAATACAAAATAGGGTTGGAGATGTGGTTCAGTGGTCGAGTGCCTCTGAGTTCAATCTCTGGTGGCCCCGCCCAAATAAATAAACAAATAAATAAGGGCTGGGATATGGCTCAGGGGTAGAGCATCCTGGGTTCATTCCCAGTGACTCAGTGGCTCAGGGATTTAGGTGCCTGAGAGGCCCTGGGTTCCATCCCCAGCACCAGAAGAAAAAGAGATTCTAAATTTGTATGCTCCCTATCTCTCACCACGTGATTCCCTCCCGGTGTCACTCGGCGACTCCGCCAGGAAGACGGGCAGATGCAGCCCCTCCACCTTGGACCAGAACCGCAAGCCAAGTACACTTTTCTTTATAACCCTCTCTGTCTAAGGTATGGTAACTTGCAACAGAAAATGGATCAAGACCCTGACAGAGTCGGTGGGGGAGAGGGAATGGGAAATTGGGCTGTTAGATCAGGCCAACGGACACAGGCTGCCCCAACACAATGCTTGTGCCAGAACATCAGATGCCACCCAGCCCCCACAGCTTCCGGACACAGGCCAAGTCCCCAAGGGCTGCAGTGGCCCAAGGCCTCGCCCACACAGCCAGGCCAGCAGCCCCCGCCCTCCCAGAAGTTTGTCCCTAAGTAATGAGCATCCCAGCTGCTCAGACAAGTCCCTTTGACAAAGGGTTTGAGAAAAACAACTGGGTAGAGAAGCTTAGAAATACAGAAAAAAAAAAAAACAGAGTGCCTACTGTATGCGACAGGCACTAAACAAGACATTTTCTTCCAAGAATGTTTCATCTTCCTTGGGGCTGGGATTGTGGCTCAGTGGTAGAGTGCTCACCTAGCACGTGTGAGGCCCTGGGTTCGATCCTAGCACCACATAAAAATAAATAAATAAAATAAAGATAGGGCTGGGGTTGCAGCTCAGTGGTTGAGCACTTGCCTCGCATGCGTGAGGCACTGGGTTCGATCCGCAGCATCACATAAAAATAAGTAAACAAGTAAAATAAAGATATTGTGTCCATCTACAACTAAAAAAAATAATTAAAATAAGGTAAAATAAAGATATTGTGTCCAACTACAACTAAAAAATAAGTATAAAAAAAAGAATATTTCATCCTCACAATGATGTTTTGAGGGCAGATGGCCCAGTGAAGAATCTGAGGCACAGAAATGCTTAAGCAAGATATGTCGGTGCATGCCTGTAATCCCAGTGGCTCAGGAAGCTGAGGCAGGAGGATCCCAAGTTCAAGGCCAGCCTCAGCAATTTAGCTAGGCCCTAAGCAATTTAGCAAGATCCTGTCCAAAAAAAAAAAAAAAAAAAAAAAGCTGAAGATTAGCTCAGTGGTAAAGCACCCCTGGGTTCAATTCCCAGAACAGAAAAAAAAAAAGAAAGAAAAGGGTCAGAACTCTTGCTCGGGGTCACATGGGCACTAGGGGCTGAGATTTGAACACTGTTTCTGACTCTATACTCTTAAACTATGTTATATGAATAATCCCCAGTAAGTGGCATTTACCATGCTCTCCTAGCTCATGGCCAAGGGCTGAATGCACATCAGTTCTCTGAGCCCCAGCCCTCACAGAAGCCTCATGGGTCCATACTGTTGTATACTTTTTTTTGGTACCGAGGATTAAACCCAAGGGCACTTAACCACTGAGCTACATCCCAACATTTTTTATATTTCATTTTAGACAGGGTCTCGCTAAGTTGCTGAGGCTGACTTTGCCATCTTCCTGCCTCAGCCTGCCAAGCCACTGGGATTACAGGCATGCACCACCATGCCTGGCCTGTGTACTCCATTTTATGAATAAAGAAACTGAGGCTCAGGGCTATGCAAGAGAGCAGGTGGTGCAAAATGAGGAGGGATGGAGCTGAGATTCATGCAGAACTGATGCTAGGCTCTAGAACCTGACACAGTCAGAATTGTACAGGGAATTGAATCCAGGACCGTGAGCATGCTAAGCAAGCACTCCACCACTGAGCTCTACCTCCAGCCTTTTTATAAATTTTATTTTGAGACTGTTTTGTTAAGTTGCCTAGGCTGGCTATGAACTTGCCATTCTCCTACCTCAGCCTCCCCAGTAGCTGGGATCACAGGTGTGCACCACTGGGCCCTTCTAGATGTGTTCTCTTATTTACATGTTGGGATCAGATGATTCACATCCGTGACTATTGCTATGGCCTCTTGTCTTGGACTCCTAACTTCTGCCATTGGATCCCATAGAGGCCAGAGGGAGCCTGTGAAGACCTGAGTCAGGCCACATCCCTGGTTTGCCCAAGATTTCTCACTGTGCCTCACCTTTTTCCTAACAAAAGTCTAACAAGACCCTGGACTCTCTGTCCTTTCCCCTCTGTCTTTACCTCCTCCGGCCGCATGGGCCTCCTCATTGCTCCATCACACCAGATATGCCTCTACCCCAGGGCCTTTGCACACATACTTATCCTGAAATATTCCTCACAGCTCCCTGGCTCCCTCCTCTGGTCACCTGTCAGGCTGACCCTCTGTGATTCCCACACTTTTAAATCTCAAACCCACCTCCAGACCCTAACAATCATTCCCACCCCTCTTCCACAATTAATTTTTCTCCAGAACCCTTATTGGATATACTAAGTATTTCCCAATCATTCATCTTAGTTCTCATCTGTCTCCCTTTCTAGAATGTTCCACAAGGGCAGCATTTTTGTTCTGTCCACTGCTGTGTCTTCAGGGTCTAGGACAGAATTTGGTACACGGCACTGGTCCAATGAAAGTTCATAGAAGGAAGCTATAGGCAAAATTATTTACATTAAGCAATCTGTACACTTATCAAGATCAAAATTTCAGGACTGGGAATGTGGCTCAGTGGTTAATTGCCCCTCGGTTCAATCCCCAGTAACAACAATAACAACAAAAATCAAAACCAAATTTTCAGTTCAGAATTGGGTGCAGTGGTACACGTCTGTAAACCCAGTGACTCAGGAGGCTGAGGCAGGAGGACTGTAAATTCAAGGTCAGTCTCAGCAACTTAGGGAGGCCCTAAGCAATTTAGTGAGACCCTGTGTCAAAATAAAAGATCTAAAGGGCTGGGGCTGTGACTCATTGGCAAAGTGCCCCTGGGTTCAACCCCCAGTACCAAAAAAAGAAAAAAATTCAGTTTAGACTAAAAAAAAAAAAAATCACTATGCCTTTCACCATTATTCTTAGAACCCTCACTTGTTCTCCCTAGGGCAAGTTCCTCTCATCAATTCCCTTTTCTCTTTTCCCAGGCACTGCCTAGAGGGCGTAGACACAAGCAGATTTGTAACTAATTTCATCTCTCTCTCGCTGGGGATGGAACCCAGGGCCTTGCACATGCTCAGCTGGTGCTGAGCCAAGGAACCACACCCCAAGCCCTAACCTAATCTTGTCAGGCACTGTTCCCCTCTTTGCTATTTCACAGAAAAACATAATTGGACTATTTCACAGAACAACATAATTGGATAGTGTTTCCCACTATCAAGAGCTGGAACTGTTTCATCTTTTTAAAAGACTACATAGTATTCCACTATGGAACCCTACCATTTTTTCCATTAAACCAGCCCAAGGAGCTGTAAAAAGATACAGATGTCACGCAAGGGCTAAAACAAATAGACTAAGCTCTAGAAGAAGACAGTTATGTCTGGGGTGAGGACAGATGGCCAGGGGCTTGTAGAAGGTTCTTTCACATGGAAAGCTAGAAATCTTCCATGTGTTGCAGGGTTTATTTATTTTTAGTTTTTAGTCTCCCTGTTCCAAAAGAGAGAAGATACTAATTTTGTTGTACAAGAGTTTAAAATCGGGGCTGGAGTTGTAGCTCTGTGGCAGAGTGCTTGCCTAGCACGTGTGAGGCACTGGGATCAATTCTCAGCACCACATATATATAAATAAAATAAAGTCCATCAACAAATAATAATAAATATTTTTAAAAAAAGAGTAACTGTTTTCAGTATTGGGAACTGAACTCAGGGGTGCTCCACCACCAAGTTCAATCCTCAGTTCTTTTTTTTTTTTTTTTTCTTTCTTTTTTCCTTTTTCTTTTTTTAGTACTGGGGATTGAACCAGGGTGCTTAACCACTGAGCCACATCCCCAGACCTATTTATTTATTTATTTCTGGTGCTGGCGTGGGCTCTCTCTCGTCCAGCGAGGAGGTCCACGGAACAGGGTAGAGGAGAGTGTGGCTGCAGAGTCACTATTCCAGACCTCCGGAGACCAAGCAGGAAGCAGGTCTGATTTTATTGCGCAGTTACCATGTATATATCCTCAGGCAGTAGCCAAGCAGATTACAGGCCGCCACTAATGCAATTTCTGGCCAATTGTCCTTGCAGCGACCAATCGAGGAGCGGACGGGCTGTGGAGCAAGCCCAGGGACTGCAACAGCTGCAACATGCGGCCTCATGCCCAGGGCTGTGCCTATGGGGTAAGCAGTGAGCAGCTGGGGGAGTGGTTTGCCACTCAGATGCCCTTAACGTATGCCATGTATGCAGTACTCCATCCACTTGTCCCCACGCTGGGGATTGAACCCAGGGCCTTGTGCAGGCGAGGCAAGCACTCAACCAACTGAGCTATATCCCCAACGCTTATTTTTTGAGACAGAGTTTTTTGGGGTTTTTTTTGTTTTTTGTTGTTGTTTGTTTGGTTTTGTACCAGGATTGAACCCAGGGGTGCTTAACCCCTGAGCCACAACCCAGCCCTTTTTTATATATTTTACTTAGAGACAGGGTCTCGCTGAGGTGCTTAGGGCCTCACTGAGTTGCTGAAGCTGACTTTGAACTTTCGATCCTCCAACCTCAACCTCCCAAGCTGCTAGGATTACAGGCGTGCACCACTGTGTCCAGTTCCCAGTCCTTTTTATTTATTTTTAAATTTTGACACAGCATCTCACTGTGTTGCCTAGGCTGACCTTGAACTTGCGATCCTCCTGCCTCAGCCTCCTGGGTAGCTGGGATTACATACGTGCACCATTGCACCTGGCATTTGTTTTGTACTCTGAGGCAGGTAAGTGTGTTATCATGTTCCCCCAAAGTTGCCATTAACAATTAAATACCTCTCCTACACACACCTTTTCCTTTTCCTTTTTCAGACCTGGGGCATGCTAGACAGTCTCCCTACCACTGAGCTACACCCTAGCCCAGGAATCTGCTTTTTAATGAAGCAGCACTCCTTTTTCCCCCAGTTTTTCTCCTTCCTGGACGAAGTTTACTCTGGGGCTCTAGAATCCTTCTCTGTGCTGCTGATGTCATGGGTGGGCTAAGAAAGGCAGTGCCCATCGACAACATCCGCTGGGGCCCAGGCGTTTTCCTGTTTCCCCTGGAGGCTGCCGCCTTCCTCTAGAGATGGAGCCTCTGCGAAGGAAGGAGTTTTTGGTTCTTCCCAGTTCAGCCCGAGTTTATGTCTTGACAGAGAGGGCGTTTCTCTAGTACAAAACCTGTGTCCTCAGTGTCACCAACCCCAAAGGCCTCCTGAGCACACTGAGCTCACCACCGTGCAAATTGTTTCCCACCAGTGAGTGTGATCGGCCCAGCCACCATAGAGACAAGGATGCAGAGCTTCAGAGAGGTCATTGGCTCACCTAGAGTCACACAGCCTGTTAAATGTCAGAACCACAATTTGGGCTGGGTCTGTCTGATGTCACCCCTAAATTCAAGGTAACCAGTGGGAAGCCATGGGGGTAGTAGGGAAGAGTATAAGAACCACTCAGTCTTAGGGCTGGGGATGTAGCTCAGTTGGTAGAGTGCTAAATAGTGCATGCACAAGGCCCTGGGTTCCTTCCCAGCACCAAAAACAACAAAAAAAGAACCACTTAGTCTTGTACCTTATTTCCAAGGAAAAGCTCTCCATTATCTGACAGACTTCCTGGGAAAGCCCAGCCGCCTCAGATTTTTGGTTCCAATAAAAAGGAAGGATTTACAAGTTAAGCAAGAACCCAGCAAGCAATCAAGTCAGGGAGCCCCTCTGAGGACATGAGGGTCTGAGTGCAGGATTCAGAAGACCTTTCCATCTCAGGCTCTGCTCAGTCTCATAGAGGGAACTAATTAAGCAACTATGTGGTTTATTTGCTGTTCCTTCTGCCTAGAACACACTCCCCTGAGATCTTCCCACGGCCAGCTCCTCATCCAGTCCTTAGTCGCCTAAAATAGAGCCCGATGATTCTTCCACACAGTGTCCTGTTCTTTGCTTCACAACCTCAAACAACCTATAATTACATATTTATTCTCTTGTCCACTCCCTGCGGTCTAGGATTTTTCTACTTCTCCACTACTACCTTCCCAGTGTCTAGGTCTCTGCCGGTAAGACATTTGGTAAATACTTGTCGCCTGGGAGGTAGCTCAGGGGCAGAGCATTTGCCCAGCATGTGCAAGGCCCTGGGTTCAATCCCCAGCCCCGCAGGGAAAAAACAACCACCACCACCAAAAAAAAAAAAAAAAAAAAAAAAGTGGGCTGTCTTGACTTCTGGGCAAGTCTGACTGGACCTGGGCAGGTTTACTCAGCTCCATCCATGGTTCAGTGTTAGCCTTTGGCCAGATTCAAAACTGGGTGAATCACATCATTGTCCACTCTGCCCTCACAACCCCCATCCCAGCCAGACCTCATGGAAACCAAAGATCCCTCAGGTACTGACCACAGGCAGGCAGAACCTGGTCAGTACCCCAGCGTTCAGATTCCTACATCAGAGACAGCCCACCACACCCAAGGGATGCACAGCACAGAGTAGTCGCAAAGTCTGGGACTTGATCCAAAACCAAGAGCCTGGGGACCCTTCTGGAGGTCTAGGCTGACAGCTTCAAACAGCCAGGGACGTGACTAGGAGATGGCCAGGTCATGGTAGCTCCCTCTTGGATGGGTTGGGCAGGGAGGGTCCCAGCCTCACCCGTCTATCTCTCCCTGCAGCCTCCAGAGGCCACAGTGCCTAGGGGAAAGGAAGGCATAATGCTAGCCTAGTTGTTTTTCTTGATTATTTTTTTGCAGTTTCCGGCCCCCTTCCCAAGGCCCTTGATTCTCTGCAGTTTGCAGGAAGTTCCTGTCACACAACCTGCCAGCGAAAGCCCTTTCCCCCAGGGCAATGCCACTTGAGTCTAGGACAGAATTGGGTCCTGGGAACCCAAAATGGAGAAGAGATAGGAGAAACTGAGAACAGCAACACCCGCCCTGGGAAAGCAAGGGATGGCCTCACCTGCAAGGGGATGGCCTTGCCTTAGGGCGCGCGAGAGTGAGGAGGGGCCCACATCCTGGCCCCATCCCCAGTGCGAAAAGGCTAAGGCCGCCCTCTGAGGTTCACCAAGGGGGGCTCTGTCTCCGGACCTGCTAAAATGGGAGGAGGGCACCCCGGGTTATTTGCACAGGGCAAGGAAAGTTTCTCAATTGTTTCCTGCTTCCTTCCTGCCCCCTCACAGGAGGCGCCCTTGTTTCCGCCCTTCCTAGGCTCCTGGCCAGACTGGGTGGGCTCCCATCCTAGTATTCGGTCTCTCGAATCTTGCCTCAGTTTCCCCATCTAGCCAAAAGCCCCGGATGGTTACTTCTTGGGGAAGGGGGGATGTGGGTCGGAGGAAGAAGTAAACAAAGGGGTCTGGGAGAGGAGGGGGATTTGGAGAGGTCGGGGGCCCTGTTCCTTTTCCCAGCCGCGATCACCACTCCTCCCCTCCCCCGCCTGCCATCTGAGCCGCCCAGATAACGGGACCTCCACGGGCAGAGCATGCGCGGTGAGCCCCGGCCCAGCAGCCAGAGGGGGAGCTGGGGCTCTGGGGAAGGGACGCGGGGCGACCAGAGTCAACCCGGGAGCGTGGGCTGCGCGCAGCGCAGGATGCAGAGGCCTGGAGGCGGAGGGACCTCAGGCTGCAGCGCGGCTGTTTAAGGTCTCAGATGTCCCCTCCCTCAAGATCGGTAGCCCCCCCGACTCCGCAGAGGCGATCCCTACCGTAGGCTCCGTCCTTCCGATCGTCCTCCATGGCCGCAGCAGGCGGGGAAGGGTGTCCCAGCCAGCGAGACCCCAGCCCCGGCGGGCGCGAGGCTCCGCGGGCTGCAGCGCCCCGCCCCGCCCGCCTGGCCAGCCCCCGCGTGTCCTCTCCAATGGGAGCCCTGCGCGGGAGGGGGCGGGACCTGGGGGCGGGGCCGGGGCCCGGAGGGGTTGGGCTCCAATCTTTGTTTCTAATCTGGGCGCTTTGGAGACCCCTCTTACTGCGTGTGACGGGTCTGGAGAGGTTGGTTGTCATTCATTCATCCCTTCATCCATTCATAGATTCGTCAAACAGATACTGAGCGCTGACCGTGTGCCTATGAACAGACCAAAAGGTGACATTAATACAAATTTTTAGTTATAGATGGACACAATATCTTTATTCTGTTTATTTATTTTTATTTGGTGCTGAGGATGGAACCCACAGCCTCACATGTGCGAGGCAAGCGCTCCACCACTGAGCCACAACTCCAGCCCAAGATGCCATTTTTCATTCTTCAGATTGGCAAGAATTTGAGTTTGGTCACATCAAACCCGAGTGAGCAAATGCTGCAGGGCAGAATGGTCTCTGACCGAATGATTCCAAACCATGTTCATGCTGCGTGACTCCTCTCTCCAGCATTGACCCTAGAGAAGCCAACACAGGCGGATGTGCATGGGGCATACGTGTCAAGGGGTGTGTTCCCAGAAGCCTTGATCCTTACAGCCGAAAATATACATGTCTATCAATGGGGGTGGGGGGGTTATACAACACGATTCGCAAGAGGAAATACAATAACTGTGGAGAAAAAAAAAATGAAGTCACCCGGGAAACACAAATTAGAACTTCAGTAACCTCGGTGAGATACTACTACACACCCATGAGAAGAGCCAAAACTAGAAAGACTGTGCCAAGGGGTGACTAGGATCTGGAGCTGATAGGAATGAAAAATGACACAGTCTCTTGGGAAAAGAACTGGCAGTTTCTTGTAAAGTTAAATGGACATCTAATGACTTAACCATTATACTTCCAGGTATTTACCCAAGAAAAGTAAAAAAAAAAAAAAAAAAAAATAATTAAATTACTAAAGATATATATAGCTACATAACCCAACGCCACCCCAGGTAGGTGCTGAGCCACACACCTGTAATCACAGTGCCTCATGAGGGTGAGACAGGAGGATAGCAAGTTTCAGGCCAGCCTCAGCAACTTAGCAATGCCCTGTCAAACAAGCAAGTGGGGGGCAGAGCACCCCTGGGTTCAATCCTTTATACCCCAAATTAATTAGATTTAAAAATAAAAATAAAGGAAAGGCCCCCCCCAAAGACTTTTATATAAATATTCTTAGCAGCTTTCTACATAGTGGCCCAAAACCTAGAAGCAACCAAAATGTCCATCAACAAGTAAATGCTAAAGAAATTGTGTTCCTTCCATGTCATGTAATTCTCAGCAATAAAAGGAATGAACTAGGGGCAGGGAGACTAGTGCATGTATGAATATGTAACAATGCCTCCTACAATATAGACAATTAAAATGAATCAATTTTAAAAATTAAAAAAAAATTAAATGAAAGGAATGAACTACTGATACATACAGCTAGGATGGATCTAAAAACAAAAGCATGCTGGGGCTGGGCATGGTGGCACACACCTGCAATCCCAGCAGTGGGGAGGCTGAGGCAGGAGGATCACAAGTTTAAAGCCAGCTTCAGCAACTTATCGAGGCTCTAAGGAACTCAGCAAGACCCTATTTTTTAAAAAAGGGGCTGGGGAGGGGGCTCAGTGGTTAAGCACCCCTGAGTTCAATTCCACAATACCAAAAAAGAAAAAGCTTGCTGGGCTCCATGGTGCACACCTCAAATCCCACCAGCTTGGGAGGCTGAGGAAAGAGGATGGCAAGTTCAAGGCCTGTCTAGGCAATTAGCAAGACCCTGTGACAAGATAAGATAAAAAAGGCTGAAGATGCATGTAGCTCTGTGGTACAGCACAATGGGTTCAAACTTCAGCACCAAAATAAGGATAATAATGCCCAGTGAAAGAGATCAGACACTTGTTTCCATAAAATTCTAGAACACATAATCAACTTAAGATAGCAGAGCATACCCCTCAGTAAAAATTTAAAAATGTGGCATATATACACACATGGAATATTACTCAGCAATAAAAGAGAATAAGATCATGGCATTTGCAGGTAAATGGATGGCTTTGGAGAAAATAATGCTAAGTAAAATGAGCCAATCCCTAAAAAACAAATGCCGAATGTTTTCTCTGATGTAAGGTGACCGACCCATAATGGCATAAGTAGGGGAAGCATGGGAGGAATAGAGAAACTCTAGATGGTGCAGGGGAAGGGAGGGGGCAGGGGGTTAGCAATGATGGTGGAATGTGATGGACATCATTATTCAAAGTATGTGTATGAAGACATGAATTGGTTTGAACATACTTTATATACAAACAGAAATATGAAAAATTGTGCTCTATATGTGTAATAAGAATTGTGATGCATTCCACTTCATGTATTTAAAAAATAAAATCAAAAATTAAATATTAAAATAAAACAAAACAAAACTTTTAACTGATCAAAAAAAAAAAAAAAAAAACAAGATAGCAGAGCCTAGATTATGGTTTGCCTTCAGGGGCAGTAGCCGCTGGCAGAGGAGCTTCCGGGTGACAGAAAACAGAAGTGTGGTTTCCACAGGTGGGTTCAGTGTGTGAAAACTTGACTTCTGCCCTTTCTCAGTGTATGTTTCATTTTTAAAATGGAAAAATTTAAATAGTTCGTGAGAGGGCTGGGGTGTAGCTCAGTGGTAAAGCGTTTGCCTAGCTTGTGTGAGGCCCTGGGTTCAATCCCTAGCATGGGGGGAGGGGAGGAAGTGGTTTGGCAAGTTATAATGGGACTGAATGTTTATACAGAGCTTACTCGGCATTAGGCAAGGTATTAAGTGCTTCACATTAAATCTTTGTGACCACTTTCCAGTGAGGGAAAGTGACACAGAGAGGTTAAGCAATTGACTCACAGTCACACTGTGAACATGCAATTGTATAAGGATTTGAACCCACGCAGTTGGATTCCAAGACCCCCAGACACGCTCCTCCCCCATTCCCTGTCATATCCCTTTTGCATAGCCTAGCTAGGCTCCTAGCTTGTATTGTTGAGTAAAACTAGCAAGTTACACGTAGTCACTTAGTCCAACATGATATGGGGAAAAGAGAGGGAGAGAAGAACAATAATCAGGAACCTCACCACACACGCACACATGCACACACGCACACACGGAGCCAGAGAAAGATCTGGACAGTCCTCAGTTAACAGAGGGACCAGGATGGTGGGGTGTTAATCAAAGGGGATTGCTTTCTCTATGACATTCTCTAAGATAAAGTATTCATCTGTTTCTGGGGTAGGTAAAAACTCTATTGCAAAATATAACTTTAAATAAGTCAGTCACAAAGGTCCCTAGAGTCCTCACATGCATGGAGACAGAAGGCCAATGGTGGGTGCCTGTGGCTGGAGAGGGAGGATGGAGAGTTAGTGTTTTCTGGGTTCAGTTTCAATTTGAGGAGATGAAAAAGTTCTGGAAACAGATGGTGGTGATGCTTGCATCAAGAGTGTGTTCCATGCCACTTAAAAAGGGTTCGAGGGACTGAGGCTGGGGCTCAGCCGTAGAGCACTCAACTAGCACGTGCGAGGCCTTGGGTTTGATCCTCAGCACCACATAAAAATAAATAAGTAAAATAAAGGCATGTGTCCAACTACAACTAAAAAATAAATATAAAAAAGAAATGGTTTGAGGGCTGGGGTTGTGGCTCAGTGGTAGAGCTCTTGCCTACAACGTGTGAGACCCTGGGTTCCATCCCCAGCACCATATAAAAATAAACAAATAAAAATAAAGATATTGTGTCTATCTACAACTTTTTTTTTTTTTAATGGTTCGAGCTGGGCGCAGTGGCACATGCCTATCATCCCAGTAGCTTGGGAAGCTGAGACAGGAGAATCGCCAGTTCAAAGCCAGCTTCAGCAATGGTGAGGTGCCAAGCAATTTGGTGAGACCCTGTCTCTAAATAAAATACAAAATAGGGCTGGGGAGGTGGCTCTAGTGGCTGAGTGCCCCTGAGTTCAATCCCTGGTACCAAAAACAAACAAATAAATAAATAATAAAAATGGCTTGAATGACACATTTTTGTTATATTTTGCCACCATAAAAAGTTTTAAATTGACTTCAAAATATAAGGTGCAACAGGGCTGTGAGGGTAGCACTAGGCACTGGGAAAGCACAGAGCAGGGATCCGCCCCAGACAGGGGTGGGCAGTCAGAAAAATCTCTGAGAGCTGAGTGCGGAGGGACAGCGGGTAAAGAAAGCAAAACGGGGTGGGGGGGGTAGTTTTGCAAGCAGGGGTCAGGGGTTAGGACCTGAAGAAATTGCGTAAGAAGGCGGAGAGAGGGCTGGGGCTGTGGCTCAAGTGGTAGCGCGCTCGCCTGTCATGCGTGCGGCCCGGGTTCGATCCTCAGCACCACATACAAACAAAGATGTTGTGTCCGCCGAGAACTAAAAAAATAAATAAATATTAAAAAAAAAAAAAGGGGGGAGAGAGAGGAACTAAAACTAGGGAAGTCACTGTGTCTGGGGCAAGGAGTTCAAGTGGTGCCATGTGGCTGAGGTCAGCAGGGTGTGGTTGTGCCAGATAGGGCAGCTCCAGGGTAATGGGGAGCTATGGTGGGTGGGGGAGTGAGTGAGGGCCCCAGCAACTGTGAGTTTCAGAGAGATGCCTTCAGTGGGTGGAGAAGGGTATGAGGATGGGGCCCCTGGAGGCAGGTCCCTGAGGGAGGATGCCCACATTTGGGAGGAACTGGGACAAGGCTATACAGCCTCTGGGGGACGGGGGTGGTTGTATCTAAGGCAGGGCAGGCTGGGCAGAGCCAGAACACAGAGCTGTTCTGTTCTCTGACCCCGCTGAAGCTTTTGGGCTCATGAATTTTTCAGCCAAACAAACCTTGAGTTTCGGATTCCAGGGCGCTGGGCCCAGGCTTTCGGGTTCTCTATACAGTCTGAAAACATCTCAGGGCCCCAGGAGAGGGATTCTTTCAAGGTTCATGGCTGGTAGGAATACAGAGCACCCCCACCCTCGCTCCTTTGGGCAGAGGCAGCGTAGAATCTCAGGCTTAGGCTTGGAAGAGCTGGAATTCCAGTTGGATGACTTTGTGCAGGTCACTTATCTTCTCTGAGCCTCAGTTTCCCTCTGTCAAGTGAAGATAATGGCCTTCCCTAAACCAAAGTGTTTCCTTGAGGGTCCCTGCTTGGGAGGTGTTCAGGGCAGTGCCGCATAAGTCAGCAAAGCCATCAGCAGCCTTGGTTGAACCAGGCTCCAGCTTCTAATTCCGGCTTAACAACCTCCTTGCCGTGTGGCCTTGAGCAAGTGGCTTGACCTCTCTGTTCTGCTGACGATATGAACAAAAAACTGTGTCAGATGATAAGCTCTTAATAAATGTGCAATACTGCTGTCTTGGAGATGCTGGATTGGAGAGGAAAAAGGAGTGGGGGAGGAGGCCTGATAATTGTTGCCTTTTCAGTTTCTTCCCGGAAGTCCCCACTCTCTGGGGCTAATAAAGGTCTGGGGCTGAGATAGAGGAAGGAAAGATGAGACCTGGGCTGGCTCAGGCCACAGCGCATCTGAGGTAGGCTGAGGTTTAGTTTCTCTTTCTTTTCTCCACCCTCCCCCAAACTGACCCACCGTTAATCAAGATCACAGAAAGCCCTAGGGTGGATCCTAGGTCCTCAACTGCTGATGTTCATGGAGCATCACTGCATCCCACAGTCCAAGGAAAGGGCACATGACTGTTATGTCCATTTGGGAGGGTGGGTAACTAGGGATTGAGCCCAGAGATGCTTAAGGACTACATCCCCAGCCCTGTTAAAAAAATTTTTTTTATATAGTTGTAGATGAACAGGATGCCTCTATTTTATTTGTTTATTTTCTTTCTTTTTGTGGTGCTGGGGGTTGAAACCAGGGCCTTGTGTGTGTGAGGCAAGCACTCTACCAACTGAGCTATGTCCCCAGCCCTTACTTATTCATTTTATGTGGTGTTAAGATCGAACCCAGTGCCTCACACATGCTAGGCAAATGCTCTGCCACTGAGCTACAGCCCCATCCCCATCCCCAGCCCTTTTATTTCTTATTTTGAAACAGGGTCTCTCTAAGTTGCTGGAACTGAACTTGAACTTGCCATCCTTCTGCCTCAACCTCCTGAGTTACTGGGATTACAGGTATGAGCCACCACACCCAGGTTCATTATGTCCATTTAATAGAGGGGAAACTGAGTTATAGTGATGTGATCACACAAAATGTTGTACAACATTTTTAGCACACAGGATCATATGAGGTCAGGTGTAGAATTTACTGCCTTTAGCCAATCATGTCAACACTCAAAAAGTTTTGAATTTTGAGTTGGGTGCAGTGCCACATGACTGTAATCCTAGAGCACTGGGGGTGGGGGTGGGGAGCTGAGATGGAAAGATCACAAGTTCAAAGCCAGCCTCAGTCTCCACAAGGCACTAAGCAACTCAGTGAGACCCTGTCTCTAAATAAAATATGAAATAGTGCTGGAGATGTGGCTCAGTGGTTGAGCACCCCTGAGTTCAATCCCCAGTACCCCCCCCCCAAAAAAAAGAGAAGAGAAAAAAGTTTTGGATTTTAGAGTTGGTGATAGTTTATTTATTTTTTATTTTTTATTTTTTTGTACTGGGGATTGAGCCCAGGGCCGTGGGCATACTTACTGAGCGACACCCCAAGCTCAAATTTTGGAGCATTTCTGACTTCATATTTTCAGATTAGGGATGCTCTACCTAAATAATCATACGAAATTGTGTCAGCTACATCCCAGGCAGTGTTTCAACACCAGGTTGCATAAAATAACTCACTTAGTTGGTACCACAAGTTAATGAGGAAAGCAGAATGATTAGCCCCATTTCCTAGATGTGCAAGCTGAAATCCAGGAAGGTACAAAGCAAAGGAAGATTCAAACACAGGCAGCCAGCTCCGGAGTCCTGGTGCTTCACCAGCACACAAAGGGCAACAAAAACTTTGCTACAGCCAGCACCAGGCAGCAAGGGGCGGGACTGAGGCAGGAGGATGCAAGTTCCTGGCCAGCCTGAGCATTTAGTGAGAATCTGTCTCAAAATAAAAAATAAAGTCGGGTGCGGTGGCGCAAGTCTGTAATCCCAGCGGTTTGGGAGGCTGAATCATGAGGATCTGGAGTTCAAAGCCAGCCTCAGCAACAGCGAGGCGCTAAACAACTCAGTGAGACCCTGTCTCTAAATAAAATACAAAATAGGGCTGGGGAGGTGGCTCAGTGGTCGAGGGCCCCAAGTTAAATCCCCAGTACCGACCCCCGCAAACAAACAAATAAAAATAAAAAGGGCAGGAGATGTAGCTCAGTACTAGAGCGCCCCCTGGTGTCAATCTCCATCATTGGGGGAAAATTATGGTGGCGGGTCAAGTTCAGGGGTAGAGAGTTTCCCCAGCATGATCCAGGACCTGGGTCCCATCTCCAACACTGAAAAAGCAAACAAGAAAAAAAAATCCCTGCAGTGCGATTTTGTTTTTCAGTACTGGGATTGAACCCAGGGGTGCTTTACCACCAAGGTACATCTCCAGGCCATCCATCTATCTGGCAATTGGGGATTAAACCCAGGGGAGCTTTACCACGGAGCCACATCACCAGCCCTTTTCATCTTTGTTTTGAGGCAGGATCTCCCTAAATTGCTGAGGCTGGCCTCGAACTTGCAATCCTCCCTCAACCTCCAGAGTCACTGGGTTTACAGGCATGTACCACCACGCCTGGCCTTTTATTTTTTTCTGTTTCTCTTAGGATCATCCCTTTTTTGTCTGTTTCAACCTCGTGTCTTTTGGCCTCTCTAGAAAAAGAGCAGTGACATTATCTATTTCAACTCTCACTGAGCCACAGATGATGTTTAATAAATAAATATTCACTTACTAAATAAATCATCCTCGTAAAAAAACAGCTTTCAGTAGGATATGGTGGTGCTCTCCTGTAATCCCAGCGGCTCAAGAGGATCAAAGCCAGCCTCAGAAATTTATTTTTTATTTACTTTTTTAAGAGGATGTAAATTCTTTTTTTTAAATATTTATTTTTTTTAGTTTTCGGCAGACACAACATCTTTGTTTGTATGTGGTGTTGAAGATCGAACCTGGGCCGCACGCATGCCAGGCGAGCGCGCTACCGTTTGAGCCACATCCCCAGCCCAGCCTCAGGAATTTAGTAAGGCCTTGGATAACTTAGCAAGAATCTGTCTTAAAAAAAAAAAAAAAGCTTTAAGTGCTTCTGAGTTCAATCCCTGGTACTAAAAGGAAAAAGAAAACAGCTTCCATATGCCCAGTTTAGCACACACAGTAGTTGCTCAATAAATATTTGTTAAACGACTGTTATTATGTTTATATAATAATCCACTTATTTTCTGACATTCTATCAACATCTAGTTGTATTAGAGTAGGAGTATTTATTTTATTTTGTTTTTTTGCTGAGGATGGAACTCATGGCCTCATATATACAACTACAGGAACATCACTGCCACTGATCTAGTGGATCTATCTACGCTTCCAGAGCCTTTTTTTTTTTTTTTTTGAGAGAGAGAGTTTATTAATATTTATATTTTAGTTTTCGGCGGACACAACATCTTTGTTTGTATGTGGTGCTGAGGATCGAACCCGGGCCTCATGCATGGCAGGCGAGCGCGCTACCGCTTGAGCCACATCCCCAGCCTTTTTTTTTTTTTTTAATGAGTGAAAAAGAACACTAGGATTAAGAAAAGCAGCTACATTTGTCCTACTCTGAGTGCTATCCATGGTTTCTAGCACTGAATGGAAAAACGACTGAGTTTGAAAAGAGTCATTTAGTAGTAAAATTTATTATATGGATGGATGAATTGGACAAATATTGAGTCGACAGCGAGGGGCTCTGGGGACAAACATAAACAGGACGAGGTCCTCCCCTACTGGGACTGACATTCCTGTGGGAGAGATAGGGAATGAACAGGAAGGGTGACTAAGTGGAGGATGGCCGGAGGGAGGAATGGAAGGAGGGATGGTTGGGCGCATGGAGGGCGGGCGGTCAATTGGACCGGGTTCTGTGCGCCCCAGCACTCCTGAGCGCCTAGGGTAGGCGAGGCGGGGCCGTGGTTCCGCGCTTAGTCTAGCTCCTCCCAGACCCTGTGGCCAGTCAGGTCGGCCGACGGCGACGCTCACCTGGCGGCCTCCCCTTTAAGAGGCGCTCACCTGGGCGCTCACCTGGGTGCGGGCGCTTCCGCAGGAAGAGGAAGCTGCACGGTCGTCGCCTCTCGGATCGCCCCGTCCGTCTCCCAGGTCCACCGGCCTCCACCATGTCCGCCTCAGCAGTTTTCATTCTTGACGTCAAGGGCAAGGTGAGGGTGACTAGAGGGACTGTGGGGCCGACAGGTGAGGCGCGCTCCGTGGGATCCGGGGCCCACCTCTCTCCTCCGCACAGGCTAGGCAGGTCTTGGAGGCGTGGGGACACCGCCGTCCCCAGCAATTCCTGGGAGTCCCGCTTACTCCCCAAGTGGCCTGGGGTCAGTCAGACTCTCAGAGCCTCCATTCCCCTTTATGTAAAAATGGGGACAACAGGGCCGGGCTGCAGCTCAGTTGGTGGGGTGCTCGCCCCGCGTGCACAAGGCCTGGATTCAGTCCCCAAAGGGAACAACAAAGGTCCCCACCCAGTGCTCGTTAGAATACGTATAAACCACTTGGCTTAGTGGCCCTGCTGCAAAGTTAAGCGCTCTGTAAATCGAGATTCATTCCATCGCCAGTGTTAATGGCACCTCTGGGGAAAGGGGCTGGAACCCTCATTTCCCTGTGGGCCCGCCTTGCCCCTTCCCTTAAAGGTGGTGATGACAGTGATGGTGAAGGTGAAAACATAGTAGTGAGAGCCAGGCGAGGCCCCTCATGCCTGTAAACCCAGTGGCTCTGGAGCCTGAGGCAGGAGGATCACGAGTTCAAAGCCAGCCTCAGCAAAAGCAAGGCATAAGCAATTCAGTGAGACCCTGTCTCTAAATAAAACATAAAATAGGGCTGGGGATGTGGGTCAGTGGTCGAGTGCCCTTGAGTTCAATCCCTGGTACTCCCCCCTCAAAAAAAAAAATAGTAGTGAGAGCCCAGCTAGCGGGTGGTACCGGCCTATAGTCCAGCTACTCAGGAGGCTGAGGCAGAGAGAGGATCACTGAGTTTCAGATTAGCCTGGGCAACATAGGGAAACCCAGCCTCAAGAAAACCAGCAAATAAAAATTAAAATAAAATAAAAACAGGTAATACCAACCTCTCCCATGGACAAGAGCAGAATTCTGAAGCCTTGGTTCAATTTGTTTCTGCACTTCTTATGACTTATAAACTCAATTTACCCAATCTGTAAGACGGAGATGCTGATGTGGCAACAATGAAATAAACTGAGAAATGTCAAACCTTTGTTCCTTTTATTTTTTTGCGGTGATGGAGAGTGAACCTAGTGTCTCATGCATTTGAAGCAAGCACTCTGCCGCTGAGCTACATCACAGCCCTTGTTTATATTAAGATAGGAGCTTGCTAAATTACTCAGGTTGGCCTTGAACTTGAGATCCTCTTGCTTCAGCCTTCCCAGACACTGGGAGTAGCTGGGATTACAGGCTGAGCATCACCATGCTAGCACAATCCTCCTTGGCAGGAAGCACACTGGGTTTCAGTGAGGGCTCTGAATACATTAGCTGTTGTTATCATGTGCCCATTTTATAGGCAGGGAAACTGAGGCACACAGAAGCAGAGCCTTGGCTTGTTCCCCTCAACTGGGAAATCCAGCCAGAACTGGACACTCTGAGGCCCCAAGGTTGTGGGTTCTCAGATACTGGGGGTGACCAGGTCATCCCCTTTATCCACCCTTAGCCCCTGATCAGTCGCAACTATAAGGGCGATGTGGCCATGAGCGAGATTGACCATTTCATGCCTCTGCTTATGCAACGGGAGGAGGAGGGTGCCCTGGCACCACTACTGAGCCATGGCCGGGTCCACTTCCTGTGGATCAAACACAGTAACCTCTACTGTATCCAGCCCAGGTAGGGCCCCTGGGGGCTCAGGGTGGTGGCACTTAGGCACTGAGAGGGTGACCTAAGGACAGGAATTGCATAGCACATCTGCAGTGACTCGGGTTATCTCTAGGGGTGGTTTGCATGGGGGTAGTGGTGGGACATAGATTGGAAGTTCAGGATCTGTACTGCATTTGAGCCCCACCCCTCCAATGTCACCTTTTCCTTAACCTTGCTGCGCCCAGTGGTGGCCACCACACTGAAGAATGCCAATGCCTCCATGGTATACTCCTTCCTCTACAAGACTGTGGAGGTAAGTACTGGCCTCTCATTGGCCCACTGTTCTGTGCCCACCTCTTTCAAGTGTCCTATCTCCCAGGAAACCAGCCTTCCCTGGCCTTCTGTAGGGGTCTCTGGGTTAGCCTGTGCTTCCCCATCAAAGGCTCCTTAGCTGTTCAGATCATCTCTTCTTCTGGGTGCAGTGTAATCTCAGTGTCTTGGAAGGCTGAGGCAGGAGGATTGCAAGTCTAAAGCCAGCCTCAGCAATTTTGTGAGGCCCTAAGAAACTCAGCAAGACTTTGTCTCTAAAACGTGAAAAAGGGCTGGGGATGTGGCTCAGTGGTAAAGCACCCCTGGGTTGGTTCAATCCCTGGGACACACACCCACACAAAAGATCATCTCTTCCTCTAATGCAGGAACCAGGGAGATCCCTGAGCCAGTGGGCTTAGGATCCAGCCCCAGCTTCCCCACTTCCTGTTACTTGACCCTAAACAAGTCCTACCTCAGGGTTGTTGTGCAATTTAATGAAATTAATATGTATAAAGTGCCTAGAACAATCTCCAGTGCAGTCGACCCTTGATATCCACTGGGGATTGGTCCCAGGACATTCCAAGATGCCAGTATCCAAGGATGCTCAAGTCTCTTGTATAAAATGTTCTAGTATTTCATAGAACCTATGCACATCCTTCTGTAGACTTTAAGTAATCTCAAGATGAAATTATAATACTAAGTGCTATGTAAATCTATATAAAGTTGTAGATTGTATTGTTTAGGAATCATGACAGGATTTTATTCAAGTTCAGCACAACATGCAACTTTCTTTTGGAACTTTTTTTTTTTTTTTTGGTACTAGAAATTGAACCCAAGGGTGCTTTACCACTGAGCTATCTTGGGGATGTGACACAGGTTCAAACATGAAATTAACTTATATTTTGCTAGGTGGTGGCATACACCTATAATCTGGGTGATTCAAGAGAGGCAGAAGCCAGGAGGATTGCAAGTTCAAAGCCAGCCTCAGTAACTTAGAGAGGCCCTCAGCAACTTAGAGAGACTCGGTCTCAAAACAAAAAATAAAAAGTGCTGTGGATATGGCTCAGTGATAAATCACCCCTGACTTCAATCCCCAGTGCCCCCCAAAAAGAAAATAATTTATTTTTTATATACACCTTATACATATAGACTGAAGATCTTTTTTTGTTTTTGTTTTTTTGGGTACTGGGGTTGAACTCAGGGCACTCGACCACTGAGCCATATCCACAGCCCTATTGTATTTTATTTAGAGTCAGGGCTCACTGAGTTGCTTAGGGCCTCACCTTTGCTGAGGCTGGCTTTGAACTCGTGATCCTCCTACCTCAGCCTTCCAAGTCACTGGCATTACAGTCATGTGCCGCCATGCCCGGCTAGTTACAGTTCTCTATGACTCACATACAACAAAAAATACACACATACTTGATACATATATTTATAAAATCCTTTTAATTCCTTCCTCCAGAAGTCTTCTTTACAGAATCTTCCTAGACCTCTCTGCCCTCTAGAATCCTGTGGCTGCTTGTATTTTCCTCCTTACTGTCCCTGATTGGATTGGATTGGTTCTGTGATCCATCCATTTTCCATTTTCCCCATGAGGGGAGAGAACCTGTCTGCTTTCTCTAACATTAATGTCCCAGCACAGGCACAGAGTAGGTACTCAATAATTGCTTTTTGGATGGTGGCTTCAATGACTGCAGACACAGCCCATGGCCATAGCCACACCTATGTGGCAATCTGTGTGCCCCCACCCCAGGTCTTCTGTGAATACTTCAAGGAGCTGGAGGAGGAGAGCATCCGTGACAACTTTGTCATTGTCTATGAGCTGCTGGATGAGCTCATGGACTTTGGTTTCCCACAGACCACGGACAGCAAGATCCTACAGGAGTGAGTGGGCCACATGGGCAGCTGCGGCTGGGCCGTGGGTGGAAGGAATCCAGGAAGGCCCAGAGGTGTTCCAGGGACTAGCTGCTGGTCCCCGTTGCCCTCTTGCCAGGTACATCACGCAGCAAGGCAACAAACTGGAGACTGGCAAGTCACGGGTGCCACCCACGGTAACGAACGCCGTGTCTTGGCGCTCTGAGGGCATCAAGTACAAGAAGAATGAGGTCTTCATTGATGTCATAGAGTCTGTCAACCTACTGGTGAGGCCCCGCATCTCCACTCCACCCCCATCACGGCCTACCAGCAGGAGAGGGGACCCTAAGCCTGTTGACCTCCATGTGTCTGTCTGCAGGTCAACGCCAATGGCAGTGTCCTGCTGAGTGAGATCGTGGGGACCATCAAGCTCAAGGTGTTTCTCTCCGGAATGCCTGAGCTGCGGCTTGGCCTCAATGACCGCGTGCTCTTTGAGCTCACTGGCCGTAAGATTCTGGGGGATCCTCTGACCCAAGCATGCCCAAGGGAACCAGAGAGCCCAGGGCACCTGGGAACCCAAGGAATGCAGTCAGATCTGAAATAAGTTCTCGTGCGCCCTCTGCTGGTCAATCACAGTGCTGCAGTTGCAATTTAACTGAGCAAAAGCTTTTTCATTGTCAAAGCGCACACACTGGTGGAATTTGACATCCTCCTGCTGCATTCCAGGAGCAGCTCTCTATCTTGCCCTCATGGCCTTGATATTCTAGTGGGAGAAGACACATCAGCATCATGTTTAAAAGGCTGACATCAATATCCAGGCTCTGGCTTCACATCTTAGCTCTGCCCTACCAGTTGCTTATGCTCTCTGGGCCTCAGTTTCCTCATCTGTCTACGCCTTGGTAGTGCTGGGTAGGGAAGGTGGAAATACCTACCCTGGCATCCAAGGTCACTGTCTTTACTGACCTCCGAGTTTCAGGCAGCAAGAACAAGTCCGTGGAGCTGGAGGATGTCAAATTCCACCAGTGTGTGCGCCTCTCGCGCTTTGACAATGACCGCACCATCTCCTTTATCCCGCCTGATGGTGACTTTGAGCTTATGTCCTACCGCCTCAGCACCCAGGTGAGGCGTGGTCAAACCCTGTGGGAATGGGGTGGTGGTGTAGATGAGCTGGGATGAGGGTTGATCCCAGAGTCTCTGAAAACTCTTCTGTTCTGTCTGCAGGTCAAGCCACTGATATGGATTGAATCTGTCATCGAGAAGTTCTCCCATAGCCGAGTGGAGATCATGGTCAAGGTGGGTCCTGCGGCGAACATGTTAACGAGGAATGGTCTTTCCCACCTGTCTTTTTCCTAGTCCGACCCTCCTGCTGTTCTTCTTCTGCTGCATTGTTTCCTCTTCGTTTATTTATTTTTTCTTCTTCTTTATATTGGGAATTGAAACCAGGACATTGTGCAAGCTAGGCAAGTGCTCTACCACTGAGCTATATCCCACCCCTTTTTATTGTATTTAGAACTGGGTCTCCCTAAGTTGCCCAGGCCAGCCTCGATCTTGTGATCCTCCTGCCTCAGCATCCTGAGTAGCTCGGATTGCAGGCATGTGCCACCGTGCCCACCTCTTCAGAGTCCTTAACTTGTGATTTTCACAAAGAAAGTTCTCAGTAATGTTTCAATAACAAAAGGGGTATTAACTATTCGTTATGTAATTTTAACTGACTCTGTACTTTGTACAGAGACTGAGGGATGTGAGAGAAGACCAAAAAATCTTGCAGGTCGGAGTACTTGCAGGTCAAAGAACTTGCAGGTTGGGACTGGGGTAGTGGCTCAGCAGTAGACTGCTCGCCTAGCACCTGTGAGGCGCTGGCTTTGATCCTCAGCACCACATAAAAATAAATAAATAAAATAAAGGTATTGTGATCAACTACAACTAAAAAATATCATTTCTTTCTTTCTTCCTTTTTTTTTTCTTGTGGTGCTGGGGATTGAACCCAGGGCCTTGTGCATGTGAGGCAAGCACTCTACCAACTGAGCTATATACCTGGCCCAAAACTAATATTAAAAAAAAAGTGGGGGGTGGGGCTGGAGTTGAGGCTCAGTGGCAGAGTGCTTGCCTAGCATGGGTGAGGCACTGGGTTTGATCCTCAGCACCACATAAAGATAAATAAATAAATAAATAAAGATTAAAAAAAAAAAAAAACTTGCAGGTCACTTGATGAAATAGATCAATGATCCACAGATCTTGTCTGATAGGTTATCACCACAGGTAATAGGAGCTGGGCATACATGAGGCCTATGTTGTTTTTTTCTTTTTCCTTTTCTTTTTCTTTTTTTTTTTTTTTTTGGCAGGGGGTACCAGAGATTGAACCCAGGAACACTTGACCACTCAGCCATATTCCCAGTTCTTTTTATGTTTCATTTTGAGAAGGACTTCACTAAGTTACTTAGAGCCTTGCTAAATTGCTGAGGCTGGCTTTGAACTCATGATCCTCCTGCCTCAACCTCCTGAGCTGCTGGAATTACAGTCATGTGTGGCCCTACTTGATTTTTTTTTTTTTTTTTTGAACCCAGGGGTACTCCGACACTGAGCCACATCCTCAGCCCTATTTTATATAGAGTCAGGGTCTCCCTGAGTTGCTTATTACCTCGCTTTTGCTGGGGCTGACTTTGAACTCACAATCCTCCTGCCTCCGTCTGCTGAGCTGCTGGGATTACAGGCGTGCCCCCCTGCACCTGGCCCAATCTTTCCTTATCCCATTCCTCTTCCCTTCCTTCGTTCCCTTTCATTCATTTCTCTCCACCTACTCCACTGATCTTCCTTCTATTTTTATTTTCATCCCCCTGCCCCTTATTTTTGATTAGCTTCTGTTTTTGTGTTTGTTTTTTTTTTTTTTTGAGGGGGGGGCTGGGGGTTGGGGTACACAGTTCCAGCACTTCCAAAAGAGAGAGAGATCCTAACTCCCCTGTCCTCCTCTGTCCTGACCCAGCTCTGTCATCATTTACTTGGACTTGGGTATTCCTGGTCCCCTGGCTTCCACTCTTGGCCCCTATGTTCTATTCTCCAGATGATGCCTAAACACCTAAGCCAGCCAGGAGCTACTGCTCAGAACCCTCCATGGCTTCCATCTGACCTGGCATAAAAGCCAGGAACCCAAGGTGGTAGAGTCCCCGCCCAGTTTGCTCTGTTAAGTCCCTGCCTGCACTTCCTCTCACTGTCCCCTTTGTTCGTTCACTCCCTCCAGCCACACCAGCCTTCTCACTGTTTCTGAAGCACACCCAGCAAAATGCTACCAAGGGGCTTTGCACTAGCTGTTCCCTCTCCCTCCATCACCCTGCTACCACCACCCAGATACCCACTTGGCACCTTCCATCTCCTTTAGTTCTTTGCTTAAATGTCACCTCCCAGAAGCTTTCCCTGACCATCTGCCCCCTTTAAAGTCGTCATCCCAGGGGATGTAGATCAGTGACAGAACACTTGCCCAGCATGCAGGGGAGGCCCTGGGTTCATTTTCATTACTGAAAAGAAAGGGCTTGGTGGATGTTGGCAGAATATATCATTGAATTCTTCATGCTCATGCTCTCTCCCTGGACAGGCCAAGGGCCAGTTTAAGAAGCAATCAGTGGCAAATGGCGTGGAGATATCTGTTCCTGTACCCAGTGATGCTGACTCTCCACGCTTCAAGACCAGCGTGGGCAGTGCCAAGTATGTGCCAGAAAAGAATGTCGTTATTTGGAGTATCAAGTCCTTCCCAGTGAGTACTGGCGACAGGCAGGACATGTGAGGGAAAGAGGGCCTGGCATGGTGGGGGGATGAGGTGGGGAACGGATCAGGCACCCACATATGTATGTATACATGTGCTTATCCTTTGGGAGGGATAAAGGGTAGAACTCAGACCAATCTTCATGATGGAAAGTGGGTTTAAATGCCACATCCCACCCCAAGTTCTTAGGAAACCAGCCCTGGATTCAGATTTCTCACCCTGGACTTTCTGAGCCTGGTGAGTTTGGAAAATCTACTGCCCCTCAGGGACTCAGTTTGCTCATCTATCAAATAAGCTGACTGATGATTTAGCTACATCCTTGGGTCACTGGAAGATTTTTGGTTTTTTTGAGACGCATCCTGCTATATTGCCTAGACTGGCCTCAAACTCCTGGGCTCAAGTGGTCTTCCGACTCACCCTCCTGTGAGGGGGGACTACTGGGGTACCACTGTCCTCAGCCACTGAAGGATTTGGTCTGTTCATGTCATCTGGGTATGGGGGTTGTCCTCAGGCCTGAGAAGACAGAAGATGGTAATTCAATCCCCGCACCTCTGGGTTTTACAGTTAGAGTCTTCCATGAGTCTTAAGCAGGTGCCTTTCCTTTCTTTTTGTGGTGCTGGAGATGAAACCCAGGGGTGCTTCACTACCGAGCCACATCCCAGCCCTTTTTATATTTTATTTTGAGAGTTTTGCTAAATTGCTAAGGCTGGCCTTGAATTTGTGATCCTCCTGCCTCACCCTCCTAAGTCACTTGGATTACAGGCGTGCGCCATCTCACCCCTGTATAATGGGCTGCATGCAGAGATTGCTCCAGGGACTGTCGTGAAGATGGTCTGGAATGGATAGGGGGCCCTTGTGCAGCTGATGTCCCCATGTATTCTCAGGGGGGCAAGGAGTACCTGATGCGAGCCCACTTTGGCCTCCCCAGCGTGGAAAAGGAAGAGGTAGATGGCCGGCCCCCCATTGGAGTCAAGTTTGAGATTCCCTACTTCACTGTCTCTGGCATCCAGGTAAGGGAAGCAGGTAGGGAAGTGCCTCTCTGTGCCTTCAGTGGGTTCCTTGTTTCTCCTGTGCCTTGTCTCAAGTCACCTGGGATTACAGGTGTGAGCCACCATGCCAGCCCACCTCTTTCCTTTCTGTCCTGGACCACCTTCTCTCTGTTCATGCCATGCCACTTCCTTATTACCCTGTGTCATATATTCCCTTGGCCCAAACCATCGTTCCCTTCTGACCCATGGCATCTCGCTCCTACAAGCCTGGGCCACCTCATTTTGTTCCCTTTCAGGTCCGTTACATGAAGATCATTGAGAAAAGCGGTTACCAGGCCCTGCCCTGGGTTCGTTATATCACCCAGAGTGGCGGTAAGGCAGCCTGGTTCCTGGGATGATGGGGTCAGGGAGATGGAGGAGAGTGGGATCTCAGGGCTTAAACAGTGCTAAAATTCAACAGCCAGCCCTGCCTGTTCACAAGCCACAGTGAACCTCTGTACATCTATAAAATGGAGTCAGTGTCCAGGTCCAGGTTGGGTAAGGTTAGGATAAGGGACTGAATTCTTAGTACTTCCATCTGCTGCCTGGAAACCAGATTGTTGTCAAGGTTACCTTGTTTAACTCCATCCTAAGCTTTGTTAAATACTCTCGAGAACGATTATGAATGCTGGGGCAGGGGATGGATTTTAGGGGACTGTTCCTGTTCCTCTTTTCCTCAGTTCTTACAGGGCCCCTGCTCATTGTTTTTCTGCAGATTATCAACTTCGTACCAGCTAGATGGGAGAAGAAGTGGGGGTTTGAACATGGGGGATCCCTCTCCTCAGGGCCCCTCTGCATATTTTAGAGAGGAGCTGGAAATGTGTGGTTGTGTGTGTGTGGTGGTGTTGGGGGGGGCAGGCCACTGACTTATGCAGTTTCCTGCTCCCAGCACCCAACCCCCTCCTGTATCTTCTACTAATGGGCTGGGAGGGGATGGTCTCTTTGCCTCCCTTACTCTTGGGCCCCTCCACCATGATTTTATATGAAGAAATATCATAGGGGCTTGAATCCCCCCCTCATGAGTGCCTTCTTGCAGTGTCCTGCCTTAGAGTGTACTGGGGACCCCTCCTTCTTCACAGCTGCTGAGCCCAGAGGCTCCTCAAGCCTGTTACTCTGAGCTTTAGGATGTCATTAAAATGATGAATCTCCTTGCTGAGTACATGCTTCTTGGCTGGGGCCTGGGGATGTCAGTTATGTCCCTGAAATGCTGATTGGGAGTGTCCATTTGACACATGTCCATTTCTTAGCCCTGGTCATCACTCGCCTAGGCTAGGGCAGTAATCACCCTGGTGACCTGCTCTTGCCTGAACTTCCCCACCACAGTCTGGTTTTCCCCAGTAGCAGGCAGAGGGGTGGCTGTTAACTTCTTTCTTTTTTGGGGGTTCCAGGGATTGAACCCAAGGGTGCCTAACCACTGAGCCACATTTCAGACCCCTTATAGCCTTGCTATATTGCTGAGGCTGGCTTTGAACTTGTCATACTCATGCCTTAGCCTCCTAAGCCGCAGGCTTGTGCCACCATGCCTAACCCGTGATTGTTAATTTCTTAGTCACATCAAGGTTTCTCTACCTAGACCCTTCCTGTGGTTCCAGTGTTGTTCAAAGTAAAAGCCAATGCAGCCCACAGGCCCCATCTGCACAACCCCACCCTATTTCCTACCACCCTCCCTGACCTCATCCCACTCTTACTTTCTAAGTCATAGCAAGCACACGCACCTCAGGGCCTCTGTGCCTTACACCAGTCTTGGTTTCCCCACAGAGCCATGTGGTCCCCTTCCTCACCCTCAGGTTTTAAATCAAATGCCACCTCTTTAGGTATGTTAATTCCTGTGACCTTGACCTGTTTTTTCAGTTCCAGAGCCTTTACCACTGTAAAGAGATTTAATTACTCCTCCTGCAGCAGGAGCCGCCTGGCTAGCTCTCAGTTGGGCGCCTCCAAGAGGTGCTCTGTAAAGATTTGTATAAAGACCTCTGTGGCCACCTTCTGCCACTCTCCTGGGAGGCTCGCCCACGTGGCAGCTGTAGGGTCAACTTTTCTCACTAGCTCACCCTGAGCCAGAATATGATTTCGTTCTCACGCAACCCATTTCCCCTTTTGTGTTTTTTCGTGGTTTCTGACGCTAAAAGTTCCTTGAATGTGCGATCCCAAGTGTCCAGAACGGTTCTTGCATGCGGTGGAGGAATGAATGAAAGTGCTTAGCACATATTAAGGGCTAATAAACGCTTCTTAGATGAATGGATGCTAGGAGGCCGGACCGAGAGGCTCCAGCCTTGCCTCCCTTCCCTCTGGGGGGCACCGAAGTCCCAGAGAAGTCCACGCTACACTCTTCCTGACCTTTCTCCCCGGGGCAGTTAAACCGGCTCCCTTTCCCGCCCGCCTGGCGGGTTTGAAAACCGAAAACCCCGCCGTTGCGGGCGGCCCACCGTTCGCCGCTTCCTGGCCAATCAGGAACGATACCTCCCACGCCGGCGCTCGGAACCTCCCCGGCGACGCTCTGTCATTGGCTGCCAGGAGCATGTGGGCGGAGCTCCATTAGGTTGAGGGTTTGGCAAGGAGGCTCCGCTACTGTGTAGCGAGTTTGTAAGAAAACAAATTGGCGGTGTTCGGGGGTGGGGCCTCGAGTGCGCTGACTCCGCCCCCTGGCGTCTGATTTTTGCCGCAGCGGCGGCAGCGCAGGCTCAGAACAGACCCCGCCCGTCGTGGAGGAGGGAGGGTGAGTTGCGGGGAGACCCTGCCCCTAAGGGGCGGGCGCCGGGCAGTGCCCTACCGGCGGCGGAGGGTTGGGCCGAGTTCCCAGCCCCTCTCCGCCCGCCCGGTTGACAGGGGGGAGAAGCCGGCTGCGAGGGCGGGGGTCTCACGGGAGCCTTGCGCCAGCGAGCCAGGCCAGGAGTCTAGCGTAGGCCGGGCGCACCGGGGCCGAGCCCCGAGAGGGCTGTTTGGGCCAGCAACGGCTGGCTCCCCGGCACTAACCGGGCTGGGGTGTGGCGGGGGGCTTCGCAGGCCACCAGTATCGACATGTTGCTTGAGGAGGTCCGCGTTGGCGACAGACTGAGTGGGGCCGCGGCCCGGGGCGACGTGCAGGAGGTGCGCCGCCTTCTGTACCGCGAGCTGGTGCACCCCGACGCCCTGAATCGCTTCGGCAAAACGGCTCTGCAGGTGAGGCCCGGCTGGCCAGGGGCAAAGGCGGGACTGTGGAACCCAGCGAGGGTTCCCTTCCTTGATGACCCCCTGGGCTCCAGTCCTTCTCTAGGCTGATATTGTACCTAAGGTCCCTTTTTTAGATGGGTAATGGGGGGGGGGTGAAGTGGGGGGTTGGGAGAGCTTTTCATCTTTCCTTGACGATTCCTTGTTTTCTGCGTGCGGGGAGAATTCGTTTTCCTTTGGGAGGTTCTTATTCAGCGGGTGGGTTTCAGCTTCTTTGGATCCCAGCTTCATGAGATAGCTTAAGTTTCTTGGGGCTTCCATGCAGAGAGCTAGTCTCTGGAAAAGATGAGTTCTTGTCTCCCTAAGAAGGGACCCCTTTTTCTAGGTAGTCCTCTAAAAGTTATCTGGTTATTTGAGGGGAGTCTTCATTTCTGAGGATTGTATGGATTATTGGCATCTTATGGGGGCCCCAATAGAACTGTGTCATATTGTGTGAGGTCTCTATTCCCTGGGAACATTTTACAGGGGAAACGCCCCACTTCTTGAGGGACATCAGGTATCCCCAGGAAGATTCCCTTATAAAGGATGGGGCTTTTTCCTGAAAAAAGTATTTTCAAATTCTCTGGGCATTTCCTTTCCCTTGAGACACCTGCCAAGTTATTTGGGGGCAGTTCTCAGTCTCCAGGGGCTCATTTCCTGGAGGAGGCTTTAGATTTCCTGATGATTTCCCATATGTGGGGGGCTCTGTTTCCTTGAGGTAGGGAACATTCTTGGATTCCTTGAAAGTTCTCCTGGAGGTTATTCTTTTTGTTAGGGTCTCACTGTATTATTACGGGAATGATCAGCTTCTTGAGGATCCCAGAACTTGTTCTCTTGGGTCTCACTATCCCTGGGGACTGGTGTTTCCTGGAGTGTCCCCATTCTCTAGAGGACCTCTTCTCTTGCATTCTCTATTCGTGAGGACCCCTCTTTTTGGATGACCATTTTCTCTCCAGTGACCCTTCCTTGGGGACTTCCTGACCCTCTGTCGCAACATAGGTCATGATGTTTGGCAGTCCCGCCATCGCTCTGGAACTTCTGAAGCAAGGTGCTAGCCCCAATGTTCAGGATGCCTCCGGTACCAGTCCAGTCCACGATGCAGCTCGCACTGGATTCCTGGACACCCTGAAAGTCCTCGTGGAGCATGGTGCTGATGTCAACGCGCCTGATGGCACTGGGGCGCTCCCCATCCATCTAGCTGTGCAGGAGGGCCACAGTGCTGTGGTCAGCTTCCTGGCTCCTGAGTCTGATCTTCAACACAGGGATGCCAGGGGGCTTACACCCTTGGAGCTGGCAAGACAGAGAGGGTCTCAGGACATCATGGACATCCTGCAGGGGTGCACAGTGATCCCACTGTGAGCCAGGGCCACTCTACCCAGCAAGAGAACCCACTAGGTTCTGTCAGAAGAGGAGGGAAGAAACACTTTCTCTCCTCACTCCTCTTGCTCTTTACAGAAGGGGGAGGAGGACCAGTTTGTGGCTTATTGGTGTTGATTTTTGGGGGAGTGTGTGTTTGGGGGACATTTCTCATTTGTTTTTCTCACCCCTTTTGGTGTGTTGGACAGAGAAGGGCTCCTATAGGCAACAGCCACCGAAACGGTTCATTTTGTCTGCACCCCAGGCTTCTGGGGCTGCAGACTAGACCCAAGTGTAAAGCCTTAAAGCCCCAGCCCCAGAGTGAGTCATCACCTCCAAGGCTCCAGGAACCTGGTGACTTTGGCCGGCTGTGCTCAGAGAGATCCCTGAAGTGTGAGCTCTGTCTTGGGCATGGGGGTCAGGGAGGGAAGTGTTTCAAATCAATAAAAGGGTAGTATGAGTAAATATTTTGTTGGAAGCTTGTTTTCCAGTCTCTTGTACAGCGTTTAAAAAAGAGATTCTATTTATTAAGCTTTATGGAAAAAATTGTGTGTGATAATTTAATGTTTCTACCCATTAAATTAAAATTTGTGCATGATCACGGCTTGGGTGGCTTCTGATTTGTGAGGTTGAGATGAAGACTCACGCGACCAGAATGTCGATGGGGATGAGCATCGGGGTCGGGGGTCGCGGAAGCTGTGGGGGAGGGGAGAACGTGGTCACTCCCAGAGCGCTAGGGTGAGCGAGCTGGGTGGGGCAGCGGTTGGCGCTGTCGGAACGGAAGGGAGGCAGGAAACCGCGTGTGGAGAAAGGGCCCCCAGATGTCAGCTGGCTGCCCGGAGCCAGAAGGGTGGGGAGGTGGGCGGTGGCTGCGGCCTTCCCCGCAGGGGCGTGACCCATGGGCGGGACAGCGGTCACAAGGCAAAAGGGATCCCGGAACGGCTGGGGGCGGGGTTAGGCCCACACGCGCGGCTCCGCCTCTTTTAAAGTTCAAGGCGGGCGTGACAGAACGTGACCACGCCCCTTTAGGGGGCTGTCTGTGACACATGCGCAGTGGCCTCGAGTGCCGCCATGCCCGAACCGCGCGGGTCGTCACCCTTGCGGGTGAACGCTGCCTTTGCCGCGCGGTACGGCCGCTACCGGGAGCGCGAGGAGCTGCAGCGCCGTGAGTGCGGGGCGCATGCGCGCGGGGCGCCAGCCCTGGAAGGGTCTTCGGGAAGTGGGGGGTTTGATCTGGTCTCCAAGGCTGATCCTGTCTGTGCCTCACAGTGAAGGATCGCTACGGGGACCGAGACAGCGGCGATGACTCCAGCTCCGAGTCTGACTCCAGCGAGGAGCGCGTGGTGCGCTTCCCCACCCCTGTTCCGGACTCACCCAAGCGTCCAAGCCTCCTATAGCACTCTGACCTCGATTACAGGGGGCGCCTTGTCCCCAAGTCCCTGAGTGCCCTACAGTATAGTCCAAGCTCCGCCCCCAATCCCTTGAGGACCATACTGCACCTTCTCTATCTCCAAGTGTCGCCAAGCCCCCTCTCTTTCTCTCTCCTCTGATGGGTGGTGAGACCCCTCAGCCCCTCTTCCCCTTCTCTCATTCCTAAGGGCCTAATCATTTCTCAGTGTACTATTATGCGCCACGTGGGGCGCCCAACTTCTTCCCATATCAGCTTTGGTATTCTTCCTGGCTCCATTGTGCAACCCGGCCCCTCCTGCTGTTTCCCAAGTGTCCTCAGCCCACCTGCTCCTTTATAGATCCCTTTTCTTTCTCAGGAACTACCTCCTTTTGTCCTACCTTCCTTTGCCCATATCCCGTACTGTCTGTGGCGGGCTCCCTACCAGTCCCCAAGTTGGTCCCTCCCTCCTCTGACCGCTAGTCACACCCGGCTGCCCACCTACCTCTCCCCAGCTGGATCCTCTGCCCTTTCCTGTAACACATACCCCTCTCCCCCATACCCTCTGTTCCACCTGCCCCTGCTGCATACTGTCCCCATCACTGGTTTCCTCCAGAGCTGTTCCCTTCTGATGACTGCCTTCCCTTTTCCTGCCCTAGGAATTTGACCCCCAGCAGGAGCGTGACTTTTACAGGACCCTTTCTTTGTTGAAGAAGAAGGATCCCCGCATTTATCAGAAAGATGCCACCTTCTATCAGAGAACAGGTGTGTGTGGGGGGGTGCAGTTTCCTCTGTGCCCTACTGGTTCTTGTAACTATTGAAAGAATATTTTACATCAAAAGAGCTTAGGAAAGTATCTTGGATTATTACCTTGTGGGGTGGTAATAACCACTATAAATGCTCTTCATTTACAATGGGATTAGATCCCTATAAACCCACATGTCACTGCTGGGCACAGTATCTTATACCTGTAATTCCAGTGACTCTGGAGGCTGTGGCAAACTGTGTTCAAGGCCAGTCTGGGCAATTTAGTGAGAACCTGTCTCAAAAGGGCTAGGAATATAACTCAGGGGTGAAACACCCTTGGCTTTTATCCCTAGTACTGTGGGGAAAAAATTAGGGGCTGGGGGTGTAGTTTAGTGGTAAGGTACCCCTGAGTTTAGTTCTCAGTACTGGAAAAAAAATATGTGTATGATAAAAAATAATTTAATAAGCCATCATAAAGTTAAAAAAAAATCGTAAGTTGAACCATCCTATGTCAGGGACTGGTGGCATGTCAAAGTGTGAGTTGCTAACCGAATGATCTCAGCCCCACCCAGTAGTGCAAGTGTGATGCTTGTTTTATAGCAGAGAAGTGGTGGATTGGAAACCTCTCTCTGCCCCGGCCCTGCCCTGTGGGATTCGCTGCTAGGGGAACAGGGTCATGGGTAATGGTGATGGCAAGTATCTGGCTGCCCCACAGCATCATCCTCATCCTCGGAGAGTGAGGAGGAACCAGCAGCCTCAGAGAAGCAGAAGAAGGTGCAGCCCATGTATTTGAAAGACTATGAGAGGAAGGTCATCTTGGAGAAGGAAGGGTAAGAAGGGTCCCTAACCCTCAGATCCCAACCTTCCTGGGATTTTGGGAGTCTTACTGGTAGAAGTGGAAAAAGCCCCAAACTCTGCAGACTAGAGGGAGCCTCTGAGATCCTTCATATACTCCCATGGAACTACCCTGGTGAAAATAACTTCCCCCCTTGTGGGGATAGGCAGGCCATGGAGCATGTACAGATAGGGTTACACCCTGACAAACCTGTTGTAAATTTAAAATATTAAAAAATACATTTAAAACTTATTTGCATTTAATACTGAGAAGTCTATTTGTAAAAATCAAACCATCATAAGTTGAGGTGTCAAGAATCAGGGACTTTATTCTAAAGCCCCCATCTTTGCCTGCACAGCAAGTATGTTGATGAGGAGAACTCAGATGGGGAGACCTGCAATCAGACAGCCAAGGTATGTAGATTGGAGGAAGCTGGGACAGGCTGAAGGGCCAGCACTGGCCTAAGGCCCATATCAGTCTCTCCTCTGCAGCAAATCTCGTCGCAGAGTTATGTGGAAGAACAGAAGCAGCTCAAGGAAAGGTGAGCCGTGGCCAGATGTGTAGGAGTTGAGGCTGCGGATTGGGGAGGCCTGGGATCAAAGCAAGCCCTGACATTTGCTATCTGTGTGCCTCATCTGTTACATGGGGTTAATGTCACAGCACTGCTCTGAGCTTTTGGAGAACAAGCTGTGGGTTTGGTAAGCAGGGTTAATCTTGGGGACTCGTGCAGGGGCCAATCTGCCTGTCCTGAGTTTTGTTTGCTGCTGTCTGCAGCTTCCGGGTGTTCATGGAGGACAGCGAGGATGAGGACAGTGCTGGGGAAGGTGGCTCTGGGTTGCTGCAGAAACATGCAAAAACCAGGGAAGAGAAGGTAGGTGCTGGGACCCAGTTGGACTGCTGAGGGGGCAGGCAGCTGAGGCTCCCATAGTCCTTCAGCACTGGCCTTTCTCAGGCCCAGGAAGAGGCTGACTACGTTGAGTGGCTGAAGGGACAGAAGGAGATTCCGAATCCTGAGTCCCTGAGGGAACTGGTGAGATCTCACACATTGTCCCTGATGGCCCAAACTGCTTGTTCCACCTGCATCCAACCTTCCTCCAGAAAATAGTAGTAGGTTCCATCTCAGCACCAAAAAAACAAAAAGCAAAACAAGGTCATATACTCTTGAGATGAGGTGTACCCATCTGTAGGCCTCAGTTTCTATGTCTAGAAAATGGGGTAAACCCACCCACTCTAGGCTGGCTATGATGTTTCATTTTCCTAAATCCATTTGGCGCCCATGCCCACTCCCCTTCCCTGTCCCTGGGTTCCGTCACCCCCCTACCACTCCCTTCCAGACACACCTCAAAGAATATTGGAATGACCCAGAGCTGGACGAAGGGGAGCAATTCCTGCGGGATTATATTCTCAACAAACGCTACGAGGAAGAGGAGGAGGAAGAGGAAGAGGAGGAGGAAGAGGAAGGGGAAGGGTGAGCTTCATGCCTCCCAGGGCTGCACCCGTATCTCCTGAAGTGCTGGCCAGGAGTGAAAGGCACCTTGTGCTTGTTTTTTTCACACAAAGGGAGAGAAAGAGCCACAAAGTGTGGGCTCTGGAATCCTGTGGCACTGGTTTTAATCTTGGCCCTGTGCTAGAGCCCCATGCCTAGGTTCCCTATAGATAGAACAGGTAATAGAATCATTCACCTTGTAGGCTTTGGGCGGGGAGGATTAAATGAGTAGATTCTTCTGGTACCCGCCCATGCATGTGGCCCGACCTATCTCAGCTGACTCCCCCAGCCTTGCCCTGTCCTGCCCTTCAGGGTCCTCAGCCCCCGAGTCCAACTGGCTGTAGAGGATTCCTCAGATGAGGGGGAGCTGTTCCTGAAGAAGCAGGAAGACTTTGAGCACAAATACAACTTCCGCTTTGAGGAGCCAGACTCGGCCTCGGTGTGTGGCCAGGGCCGGGGTCAGGGAGGCCCCAGACCTCTGTTCCAGGCTGGAGAGCCGCAGGTCATCTCTCTGGCTCTTCTGCTACCCTCAGGTCAAGACCTACCCGCGTACCATCGCATCCTCTGTGCGCCGCAAGGATGAGCGCAGGAAGGAGAAGCGGGAAGAAACCAGGGAGCGAAAGAGGAGGGTGAGTGGGGGAGGCCAGCTGGGGGTGGCCCAGCCCACTAGGAAAGCCCATGGCCTGCCCCCTGCCCATAGGAGAAGGCCAGGAAGCAGGAGGAGCTAAAGCAACTGAAGAACCTGAAGAGGAAGGAGATTCTGGCAAAGCTGGAGAAGCTGCGCCAGGTGACTGGCAATGAGACACTGGGCCTTGAGGAGCAGGACCTTGAGGATGATTTTGACCCCGCCCGACACGACCAGCTTATGCAGGTGCGGTTCAGTCATGGCATCAAGTCCTCACGAACTTGACCAAAATCAGGTTGTTTCCTAGCGTGTGGCCTTAGAAAAGTGACTTGCTCTTTCTGAGCCTCTTTCCCTGCCTGGAAGGTGGGTCTAACAGTAGCATCTACCCCAGGGCCATTGTAAGGATAGATTGGAAAGAATTCACGTTATAGCTTAATTGGGGGCTGGGGTAGTAGCTCAGTGGTGGAGTGCTTGCCTAGCACAGGTGAGACACTGGGTCCAGTCCTCAGCACCACATAAAATA